TTGTTCATGATTAACAAACCAAGGTTAAGATGGTTAACAAACCAAGATTAAGATTCTATTGTTTGGACAATAGAAAAATGTGATTTAATAAACCATGGCTTAGCATTACATGCTAACCAAGTCAATAAATTATTTCAGGGAACTACTGAAATAAAAATCTGTTAAAACAGACTTATAGCCTGATCCTCATTTTACTCAGAAGAAAATTTTGCCATCCAATGAGACTTAATTCCTAAGTAAGTATATACAAGATTGCAGTCTTAAGAAACACAAAACTCCAATGTTACAAAGTTACAGTATTAGCTCCTGTATTTTGGCAAAGGAAGTCAGAGGAAAGTGCACATTGTTTCCCTTTTTTTTTTTTTTTGGAGTTTTAAGGAATGACACAGGAATACTTACTTCAGAAAGAGACCTGCTCATAAATCCCTAACTGATATGGATGCTCAGTAGGGAAAAAAGCAGTCGTGATTAGTTCAGATGAATTGCCAACATAGCAGTAACAATACAAATATTTACATAGCAGGACCTTTCCCAGTATTTTACTTAGTTCAAACAATGACAATGTTTAAGAACAACAACATCACACACATTTACTTTTTGAAAATCCAGGTACCTCATTGAAAATTCTGTGGCTCTCAAGAGCCAGTGGATGGATATATGCTCCATCCAAATCTAGTCACTTCTCATGGGTGCCAGAGCACCGCCACATCAGAAAGGTCCCTCACTCACCTGGGATGCCCCACTGGATCTGCTGCTATTTATACTATTGATCAGCCTACACAACAGAGCTCCAAATGTGTAAGCAAATACCCTGAAAACATCTGAGACATTTCTCACTAATTTTTTCTTTAAGTCATTTAAGCATGCTCTCTGCCAAATAACACTACCTTATTAAAATGTATTGAATCATGTGTACCCTGATCCAGCAAATAAAATCTGCATACACAGCTGATGTTTCCCATCTAATCTAGAAAGACACATTTGATGCAGATGAACACCCACAATCTGAGGTCACCCACTGCACACAATGAAACGCAACTACAGTAGTACCAGAGCCATGTTCTATAAATAGCAAATAACTGGAAATTTAGAACTTTACAGCGTGGTTGTTGTCATTTTTAGAAAGCTAAAACCCTACATAAAGCAAAATCTGTGTGAAATAATTCATCAGAGCACAAAAGGTGTTACATATACACACACCCAGGCCCTAAATGAAACACTTTTAGTTTAGTGCTTGGCTTCCATATTGCTTGACTACATCCAAAAGGAATATTTTTAAAAAGAAATTATAAAAAGCTGCCCTTTTCAGAGCATAATAATTTTAATATTAAAGGCATAGGCTAGTAAATGCAAAATTTATTTCAACTGTACATAACAGAAACCTTTTTTTAAAAAAAACAAAAAGAAAACACGCAGTTGTTATATGCCACCACAAACAAGAAAATGCAAACTGTACAATACAATGCACATTCAGATATACATCTATTATAATTGTCTTCAAAAGTCAGTAACTTACTAAAGATGGCTTCTCCCATTCACAAATGAAATGAACAATATATATATTTGTTCTTTTTTTAAACATCACTATATACACATTTTATTGTGTTTTGGCATGATTATGCAAAACACACAATTAATAATAGCTTACTGTCACCTTATAGCAAATACTTATTGAATGGCAGTATCATTTAAGCTGTGTGAAAGGGACTGACAATGGCTCACACCTAACATTCTAATTCAAATTCTGTACGCCTTCATTTTAATACTAACTGTACACACTTATCTTACAGATTGTATAACATTAGGTACCATTATTAATATCATTTAAGTTTCACAAAAATAAAACACTAAAACTTTGGGCTGAATACCACCATTTTAACACGGATTATTATTATTATTATAATTATTTTTTAACGCTGGTTGCATTAACACTTCTGATCCATTCACAAAAGCCAGCAGTCTGCCACAGTGAGAACACTGATAAGGACCTTTTAATGGCATGGTTAAACCAAAGAAAATTACCGTAACAAGACTCCATTGTTCTGATGGTTCGCAGCTCTTGTAATAATTAATGGTGGCAATTTTTTCAGAGCTTTGGATATTCAAAATTAGTTAAACATAATTCTGAGAAGGGGGGGGGAGTTCCAAGGAAACCATGGTATACCATATCCATAATACATTATCTTGAGAGCAACAGAATCAATTAAAAAGCTTTCAGCTGCTGTAAGAAACATCTATTGTCTAAAAGCCAGAACACGATTGCTTAAATTTATGCCTTCAATGTTGTCTGTTTTGCTTTTAAACTGAGCTTTGAGAATTCTCAGGTTCAAATTAGGCTTTATGCAGCAGACATGTTTGAACAGTTTCCTGGTTTACCTTTTTTGTTTTTATGAAGGGCAACAGAGACCTGGCCATTTTGACTCAAGCTGCCTCCTTCCAGCTGCTTCTGCACTTGTGGTATATGTGCATGAGTACCCTATATATTTTTCCCCAAGGAAGGAAAGCATACCAGAAGGGGCAACATTTTGAAAAGGAAGATGGTCTGAATGTAGTGTGCTAAGAAAACCCACCCCTGCCATTTCCCTACTCAAAACTTGAGCCGAACCCTATAAACCACTGGAACTGCAGCATAAGCCTCCTGTTGCTACCACAGGGGTGCAGCGGGAGCTAGAAAGTGAATCAATACCCAGTAAAACAGCAGCTAACAGCTCTGTAGATTGGTGCTCCTGGCTGATCCCTCTGGGTCACTGCTATGCTGCATACGGTTCCTCATGTTACCCTCTGCAGCCTTAGGGATGGGCAAAGGTAGAGCAACTACAATGAAATGCTGGTATTAAGTCAAGGCTGTAGCAGCAGGTAGCTTACTGGTTAAGTGGGGCCAGACTGCAAGCAGTGTCTTGCCTTCCACACCATTTGACCTGAAGCAAACCTCTCTCTCTCTCTCCAGCCAAAACTGGAGCATCGGCTGGCAGTTGAATTAGGTGCAGCTGAAACAGGTCCATGCTATTTCATTGCTAACAATCCTCTCTTGAGTGCTTCAGTTTGGGGACATTTATTCATAAATTACTTAAAGTTAAGTGCAAGTAATTTTACATCTACTGGGTTAGTTTGTTTGTTCCTTAGGCCCTTTGTATCCTGTTCAGCCATTAAAGATTACCTGCATAGATGTTTGTTGTCATCTGAGGAGTCATAATCTTTTATGATTAAGTTTCTAGAAAGCAGTAATGGAACATTATGCTTGGTTTAATTTATTCAAAGAATGATGTTAGGACAGTGAGTACAGTAGTTTCAGCATCCTAGGGGGAAAGAAGTTGCCCGTTTCTAATAGCAATTCTGATTCTTTGTTGTTTTATTTTAGATTACATTTCCTAGTAAAACAGAACTCCCCAAAAAGTATATTGGGCTCCTATAATACAAAAAAGTATCTCAAAGTATTCAATGGTACTATCAGTGTTATTGTTCTAGAAAAAGAGGTGTCAGAACTCACGAATGAGCACCTCTCTTATAACAGCAATGGCCCCCACCTGAGGAGTGCAGAGACTGATTTCTGGTGAGTTCTGGCTGAAAAAGCAGCCCTGGGTACTATTAATCCAAATGAAAAGTGTGCTTATGAAACAAATTAATAGACTTATACAGTCATACCTCGGAAGTCAAATGGAAACTGTTCCAGAAGTCCATTTGACTTCCAAAATGTTCAGAAACCAGGGCACGGCTTCCGATTGGCTGCAGGAATCTCCTGTAGCCAATTGGAAGCCGTGTCGGACGTTTGGGTTCCAAAGAACGCTCACAAACCGGAACATTCACTTCCGGATTTGCTGCGTTCAGGAGCCAAAACGTTTGAGTCGCAGGGCATTCAACTTCCGAGGTACTACTGTAGTTACATGCAATTGCAGACATAAGCAAGATCTGGAGAGCTGAATGAACTTCCAGGGAGAGACATGGCACTTCCAAAAACTGGACATTTTTAAAAAGGAATCTTAGCAAGTGTTTTTATCGTCAAATAAAATTTAGGAATTCCTTCCTACCGCAGAAAGTAATGATTTACTGTTGCACATGTATTGGCTAACATTGCCTTATAACTTATCAGCCACAGGCCAGAGAGCATTTTTAGACACAGGAGCTTACGAATCCTTCAGCGCACTGACATTCTTTTTGTCGCACCAGGCAGCTGTGCTGAAAACTGCTTTTGAAATTCCCTTAAGTATCAAACATGGTCTGCTGTGAAGATAGGGGAAGGAAGGGTCTGCTGTTAAAGGAAACAAATCCAAATCCCTGATGGATGTGCAGAGCTAGCTGCAGAACTCTCTGACTTGTAGGCATAAAGCGGCAGTGAACTTCACCTTGCCAACAGTTATCGGAACAGTATTTTACAATTGTGAACCATCCCATGCTTGCTCAACTTTTTAAACATATATGTGGTTCTCTCAGCTTTTTAAGAACTGTAGGCAGGATAGTAACACGCTTGGCTTGCTCTTCGAAAACGAATACACAAGAGTTAACTGCATATACAACTCTCTGGGATTTTCCTTGTACATTTATGCAGTTGTTGTGTTTGGTTTCCCCTGCCTTATTGTTAACACACACCAACCTAAACACTGTAAGGCTAAAAGGACTTCCATACAGATGGCACAAGTGTTGCTTCACAGAATACGAGCCATGTGCTGTAAAAATGGGGCTGGGAAGGGGGAAAGGAAATAAGTGTTATGGCTACACCGAAACTTAAAAACCAAACAAAAACTAGACCATTCATAGCTACATATCAATGCTCCCAATCTTTATATAAAAAAGAGATCCTATTAGTGTATCCCAACAAGGTGTGACTGTAGTATCAGAAATTGGTTTTCCCCCACCCCAAAGGTTGTTAAAATATCACATTAAAAGAGACAAGGAACTGCAAGAAAACATCTAAGAAAAGCAGGCTGTGATACAACAAGCATTTGTTAAGAAAAGCTCAGAAGTGCATTAGTTCTGGTGAGAGATATATGAGCAACAGCTCTTACGAGATGTAGACCCCATTCTGTAACTATGGGCTGTCCATATACTGTCATAGTCAGAGTCTTCAGAGAGGTCGGAAGGCTCCAAACGAGAAAGGCTACTGCGACGACCCAAGGAGTCTAGACTTGATTGGTCATCATCAGCCAAGACGTGATTATGCATCAGGTCAGTGCCTTGCCATGCTAAGGATGTATGGGGTGAAATGAAATGGTGGATGTAGACAGGCAAAGGTGGGATGAGGAGGAGAACATACAGGATAAGCCACAACCAAAACACATGAAAACAAAAGCAAAAGGTGACGGGAAGAAAAGGAAAAGAGAAAATATTGTTAAAAAGGCACCAAATCTTGCTGTCCTTATTTTGGCTGGGTTTTATGTACAAATTACATTTTTTAAAAAAAAAAGAAAAGACATTTGTCACAATAAGAATCTGAATTTGTTTTGGTTGGCTTGGATACAGACTTGAGACTTTCCTAGAGGACACCCATTTAAATCCATGGGACTTAAGAGTAAGTTCCAGTGATTTCAATGGACCTACTCCAAGCATGACTGGCAGCACAATCCTATGTGTGTCTTCCCAGAAGTAAGCTTACAGGACTTACTCCCAGGTAAAGGTGTACAAGATTGCATCAAAGTCTGGGTCCAACCCACAGTCACATTTAGAAGGTGCTTCTGCTTGCAGATTCATTTTAATGCTATTAGGACCAATTACTCTGGTTAAAATTGGGTATTTAAAAATGAAAATAAGTGGAAGCACAGACTAATGTATCAAAAGAGCAGTCTCTATTGGTTTTTTTAATGAAAAGATTTCTTACGGATCTGCTGTTTTGCATTTCCAGAAGAAATGTCTTCTGAAAAGTGCTATAAAGCCAATCTAAATGTAAACCAAATCAGACATTTTTTTAAAAATAAAATGTTTAAAGTATTCTGGATTTAAGTGGAGTTCAGCTGTCACTGATCTAAGTCTATGTGCCCACTTTATTATTCGCTACCTCTAAATCACTTCCCCCTTATAAGTGGATTTCAGCCATATTGTCTTTCATGAGAGGGCCTTGGTTAGGCCTGGGCGATGTACTGATACATCACCTAGGACCGGTTTGAGGACCAGAGTGCGATGGCATCTTCACCCGGTGGCATATCACGGGTGAGGCTTGCCTGTGCCTGATTCCGCCGCCACCAGCGCCTGGAAGAAGGAACGAGCTGCATCGACCCCAACCCCACAAGGCTGAGGGAGCTGAGGCACCACCGCTCCCTCGCAGAACCAGGGCAGATGCAGTTTGTTCCTCCCTCCACTTTTCAACATCATGATGTATCACTATATTGTGATGTTTGGCTGGTGATACATCATGATGTTGAAAAGCTGACATCGCCCAGCCCTAGTCTTCCCATGGAGAACTACTTGGGGGGGGGGGTTGAAATTAGTAACAAGGAGCTGTCAGCACTCTACCATCCCACACAAAGACTTTTCTGGGAGACTACGTGAGAAATGCCATTTCTCCACAGGAACTATTCCAAACCCTGCCTGTGGAAGGAAAAACTTGGCCCCAGAAGATTTAGCTTGAAAAATAAAGGAGAATCTTAAAGTGATGCAAAACTGGATTCTCAAGATGGAGAAACAGGCGGCTCGCTAACTATACAGACACCTAACTTAGCAAGTATTGGATCAGTCTGATCCAGGGAAAGAAAACCCATGTAGGAGCTAAGGCCCAATTCACATGTGCAATCTCTGGGTTTGGTACCCTCTGGAAATAATTACGTACAGCCACACCCAGCTGCTTGCACAAGCAATGTTTTGTACAGCTGCAGCCAGTTCAGCAGCAACGATGCTGCAGACTGGACATGTGAAGACGGCCCCCCAAATATGTCGCTCCCACAGATTCTCCATTTGCTTCAATGGAGGGAACAAAACTGTACACACAGAAGCACCGTGTGCACACTGTGGCACACATGGATTTCCCTACTAGGGCAAGTGATCACAGACCATTCATACAGACATTAAAAGCAAACTAACCCAGGGTTTACAAGGGAAGCTGGGCTCCACCTGCTGTTCTTCCCACTTGTTTTCAACAATACTTAAGGACCTTTTCACATGATCAGTGAATGGAGTCATGGCCTTATCGGTGGCATTTTAGGCTGTGGGCAATGTTTCTCTAAGTCACTATTCAATGAATATTCAATATTTTGTCCACATCCGCAAAGGCCGGGTGGCCATTTGTCATGTATGAATTCATTGAGATTCCTGCATTGCAAGGGGTTGGACTAGATGGCCCTTGGGGTCCCTTTCCAACGCTACAATTCTATGATTCTATATAATAAAGGAGGCAGATAGCCTTGCCACATGGAAGAGAAAAGATGAATATTAGTGACACTAATAGCTGGTGCTCCGGCATCAAGAACTGTGCGGTGAGGTGGGTGTGAGTGGGTGGCCATTGTCTTTTTTGCTGGGAGAGGAAGATGAGGAAACTTTCTAAAACACAAATATGCTAGATTAGCACAACCCCAGCAAAAAAGTATGGAAACTGAATAAATGTTTTCAATCTCTCTCTCTCTTAAGGGATTAAAGAATGATGCAGGCACTAACTAGAGGAGAATAATATTCAGTAGGAGCGTTAGTGTCGAGCATGATAATAATCCCTAAATGTAATAAAACAAATCCTGGGACCTGTGATGCCTATGCAACCAAATTCCATTTGGCAATTGCAATAGATCTCCGCAGGAAAGGACTGCTTCTCTGCAGTCTCCCCTCAAAAGTAATATACCTCCTTCCAGAAGATGTGTGAACTATACTCAAAAGAAGAAGCAAATACACATTTGCTGCACAACAGATTGATTGTGTGGAAAGGCCCTTAGAAAAATGCTTTTATTGCCCTGAAAGCAGCATAGAGCACACAGAGTTGAAGACATGGTTTAACTAGAAGGAGAAGAGGGGCAGAGGCAGAAACCCTGGTGGCCAGCCATTTTCCTTTTCATGCCCATCTCCCAAAAACCTTTCACAAAACATGGGGTGTGCTTTTCCACTGGAGAGAAAAGACTTCTGTCCTACCTCTGATGCCACAGATTTCCAGGGCAATGGGGTTCCCCTATCCCCTGACCATAGTTAATGTGCATTTCCAGAAGCAGCACCTCCAAAATGAGAGATGGACGGTGCTACTAACAGAATTGCAGGCCTGCACTATGAGGAACAGTCAGGATGTGAACACAGAGGTGAGGACAGACTGGAAGCAAAGAAATGGTGTTGTGCTAAAGGGGCCTATTTAGCTATTGCATGTCCTCTCGAGTCTGATGCAGGCACACACGTTTCCCAGTCTCCTGAACCACACGCAAGAGACTGAGAAGCATTACATCTATACTTGGCCTCATTCCTAAAGCACAAGGCCAAATCCTGTTCCTTTTGCCAATTCCTGTTAAATTACACCTGGGCAGATAATTTTAAAAAACAAAAACAAATATAATTTTAACAATATCAGCAGCCTTGAAAAAAAGAAGCCGTGCATCTAATAGCTATTACCTTTATTTTCATTGCAGATAAATGCAAATAAAAGCTGCAGATTTTTTGATGTATGCAATGAAATTTATTGCACTATGTATATTTACAAAATATACATAGAAAGGGGGAAACGGCAAAAAAGCAAAATACATTTTGTACCAGCTGTGAGCTTCCGTAAGCACACTGTTGCATAAACTAAAAAAAAAATATGCTTCACAAAACACTTCTTTTCACTTTGTGTTTTTTTCTTATAAAAATAATGACAAACACCAACTGAGCACAGTTGTGCCATTCAAAACATCAGCAATTTATCTGATCCCACCCTAGTGCAATCGCCCATAGAAACATAATAGCTGCCACTTCAAAACAATTGTAGGACTAGAATAAAGTCTGATTTTAGAAAAGAATGATTAAAACAGCCTAAACGTAACAGCACAAAGACATAACACAGCACCAACGATTTGATACCGTGGCTTACAAACATTACGAACCTTTTCATAAAGGTTCTAACCAGAAAATCTAAATATGAAAAGACTAAAAAGTAGTCCTACAATAAATTCCTAAGATTTAAACAGGTCAAATTTCAGTTATTGGTGGACATGTATGACCTCTGATTAATGATCCAAAGCAGCAAGCAGCATGAGAGTCTTAGCTCCCAGTCTAGTAAGACTGGCACTGGCATTAGATATTCTCAACAATACATGTTGCTGAAAACCTGATTAAATGTAAGAAGTTTTAATAGACAAAACCCAAACCAATGTCTACATTGATTTCTGCCAATAGCAAACTATTTAACGAATTTGGAGCATGGAAATATAGATTGTAAACTAGTTTTATAGACTAATGGCAAAACTGTGCAAACTGGAATAAACCAAAGAGTATTTTATTCCCTTATGTAGATGTGATACATGCTGGCAGATTCTCCTGATAGGTGCAATGCTTTACTTACAATAGAGGATCTCCACCATTGCAGCCTTGTTTAAGATTAAATAACCTGGGTCCTCAAGACACAGTGTAAGTTGGATATATATCTGAGTAATTGAAAACAGCAGCTTTGCTCAACATACAGGTATTTACAAAAATACATATATTTTTTTCTGGAATAAAGGGGAATTATTGATATCTGTAACAAAAAAAAATTTAAACTGCTATTAGTTGTTTATGCCCCATTACCTTTTTTAAAAAAAGTAAAACTAAATGTCTCTTAAATGCCTTTGAAAAAATGCGCATCTCACTGAATATGATGCCCTACAATCAACACTTAACCATTCTTAAAAAGAAAATTTTTTACTTAGGGTATTGAAGATCACCTGTTCCTAGACACAAGTTTTATGCACAATTAATAGTTTTTTAAGACTTGCTGCATCAATAAATGAACATTTAGGATGGGCTTCAGCATCATCTGTGCTAACATACAAAACCATGACAATCTACCAAGTTTGTAAGGATATTACTCCAGAAGTGGAAAGGTTAGAGTAGGGCTGAAATGCTTATGGCAGCAATTTCCAAACTGTAGCACGAGAGATTGTGATGTGTGCCTTGCATGCACTACTTTATACCTCTAAGAGAAGACAGTCCTTAGACAACTTATATATCTTCTTTCTCCATTATGTGGGGAGTGACATCATCCCAAACAGAGGAAGTAAGGATGTACAGGAAATGCCTATCACAACCCACGTCGGAGCGGAAAGGCACTGAAACTTGGCTGATTAGACAACGGAAATGGCAGAAGGCTATTAAATGGGTTGCCTCTGCAAAGTTGAAAGAAGGATCTCTGTTCCCTATCCTAAGAGCTGACCGAGAAAATGCACATTTATCTTTCTGAGCGTCACTTGAAGTGTGCCTCCAATTCGAACCACACCTTAGCAATCAAACATTTAGAAAATACGGGTTTAGAATGGTAGTTTACAGTCCTCTTATTCTAGAATAGCCCTGTGGCATTTCCAGTGACTTCAGTTGGGTAAGTCTAAAACAAATGGGTGCATGGACTACAAGTGTTGGCACAAATATCTAAAACGAAAATGTTAGTATGCATTAATTCGAGAAATCCAGTATGAAAACATGGCAGTCACTGCTCTGTTCACAGGCCTGACCCTTACAGTGCTTCTCCGATGGCTGAATCTTGGAACTGTCCCGAGTGTGGGGTGCAAACGACCACAAAATGTCACCTGCCAAACTTGCGCCACTATGCAGAACAAGCTGTATTTACATCATTGCAAATATTTTTACCTGTGCTATTCTTAGCACATTTCTCTGATAATCACTTGACATGCCACTTGTCAGCCAAAAGAAGATGAAGGAGAAGAGCTGGAGTCACCACTAGAGATATTGCTTACTGAATAAATAGGACAGTTGTAATGTTATTTATGTTTTTTCTAAAACTTACTTGAATTTAATGTTTGGCGCGTTTTGGCACTTGTGCAGTAAGCTTCAATGACTTTTAGAATCTGAGCATCTTCCTCTAATGCAGCAGTACCTGCAGAAAATAAAAAGGTGTTGGTCAATTCAAGACAATATTAACAGATGCAACAGCTGGCGCACCAATCCCATACACATACCTTTGAAAGCATCAAGTGTCTTATGTCAACATGGCCATGGCATCAAGTCTTCCTGGGTCTTGACCTGCTGCATGAGCACCTATCTCCACTAATCCTGTATACCCCTAGGTGATTCTCTTTAGGTGACTTCGTACAGTGACTATTGTTGCTAGTATGGTGCTGCTAGACCCTACCGCTTCGCCAGCATGGTATCATTCAACGCAACAAAATGTGTGAAATGTTAATTTCTTGCTGAGATAATGTAAAAACGCTTGCCTATCACAGGGCAGTCCTGTTAGCAACAACTAACTGTGGAATGGTGACTGCTGCCTTGGCGTTCAGTACATTAAGCTGTATCCAAATGAGTCATGCTCAAGATTAGATCCGCAGAAATCAATGAACTTTTAAGTTAGTCAGGACTAATTCAAGTCTGCTGATTTTAATGGGCCTAGCTCTGAATGTGACTTAGATGTGTACAGCTCATTATACCTGCATTTATGAAAGGAAGTAAGAGCAAGCCATATAACCAATGACCTTGTAAGTTTAAGCTGAACGCTATGGATTTTCAGCCAAGGGTGGGCAGAAGGTATTGGTAGATCCAAGTGGTAGATCCAAATGGTTTGCAGTAAATCAGCAAAGATTCTGATTCCCAGTTGTTTAACAACAGTAATTTTGGACGAAGCAGAAGGAATGAAAAGCTTTCACTCGCCCACACAGCAAAACAAACTTACTTTTTCTCAGTGAAAACTCTTCTTCTGATGGTTTCCGTTCAGGTTTTCGCTTGGGCAGTAGTTTTTTCATGGTTTTGGGACTTTTGCTGAGATCCTGAAGTTAAAAGAAAAAGGGAGAAAAAACACAGATACATACAAACACAGTGAAAACCTACTTGTGTCAAGGTATCAAAACACACCAATAGAATAGCAATTCACTATTACAAACTCTCATTCACGTGAACCATTTCTCCCCATTCTGGGTTGTTGCAGAGAAATACATAACAATAAAAATGGTGGGGTTTTTTCATTATTGATTAATGTTTATATTCAACTTTTATATTAGTGCAAAACGTAGCTAACAAAAATCAAGTTTTCATAAATAACTACAATTTAAAATCACATCATAAGAATCTGATGGAGAAATGATAAGCCGGTTTTGGTCTTCTGACACATGGGACTCAGCTAGACTGATAAAGAAAAGCGATTTACAGTCGTACCTTGGAAGTTGAACGGAATCTGTTCCAGAAGTCCGTTTGACTTCTGAAATGTTCGGAAACCAAAGTGTGCCTTCTGATTGGCTACAGGAAGCTCCTTGCAGCCAATCGGAAGCCACAGAATCCCAGTCGGACATTCGGCTTCCAAAAGAACATTTGAAAACCGGAACAATCATTTCCGGTTTTTGATCGTTTGGGAACCAGAACGTTCCACTCCCAAGGTGTTCGGGAGCCAAGGTATGACTGTATATGTGTTGTATGTGCGATACAACATTGTGCCACCAGATGGCGATTTGGAGTCCTATTTTTCTCCACCTGTTTTCCCTGTTTAAATTTACAATGCTTTAAACTGAAACGCTTCTTTGATGTGTCTAAATCCAGCCGCAGCCTTCTATTGTGGATGTAGCCTCGAGAGTTCAACTTAGCACATTTTCTTGGCTTCCAACAGTTGACAAATAATAAATTTCCAGCTGTATCCGGTGAAATCATCCCGCCCCCACCAAGGTACTTCCTCTCCCCCTCCTCTCCCTGTGTGACCCCCAAATCTGCTCCAGAAGCCCTAAAGCAGATAGGGATGCACAGGTGAGGAGAGGGAGAAGAAGTTCCAATGCACAGGTGGAAGTTATTGTGCTAATAGGATGATATAACCCTGTGCATTAAATTAGGATACTGAAAAGAGGAGACCAACAGACACAGAGCACTTCAGTTCTGCTGAGCAAACAAGCCAATTTACAGGAATTCCAAGATATGCTAGTCTGTCTGTAAACTAGACATCTGTTTAAAAAGTGGACAAGGAAGTGGTGGAAAAACATGACAGAAGTCTACTGAATGGCCTGAGTCAAATGTGTTTGCACACTGGGTCTCTCCTTGCCCTTTTGCTCACGCATATCCAATTCCTCCTCCCTCACGTCCCAGTTTGATCAAATTTTGCCTGGCTCCAATGTAACAGAAAACTATGGTTTGATCATATCAGAAAGAGAGAGAAGGAATCTGAATATCCAAGAAGAGGAGGAAGTGTATGAGCCCAATATCTGGTCACTGTGGTTTGCTGTTATAAGCCATTGGGCTGCTTTGCCTCTAACACTGAACTATGGCTTATCACTATGTGGATATGCCCAAGTGAAGTGTTGGGCTCATGTACCCCCAGTCTGCTCCTGTATGATGGATACATCAATTTTACTTTCAGTTTCCAAGCTTCATACGAAGCTGGCTTGTTGAGCAACTATCCATTGTTTCTTCTAAATCAAGATTCCTTGTTTGCACATCATACTAATGGTTTGCACTGAAAGTAATCTCCATTGTAATCTTCCTCCAAGCTGCACTGGAGGGGGAAAGCCCCAAGACAAAAAGATTTTGAACTCCTATATAATCTTGCTGCTCTAAAGATATGAGTGTGTGTCGATTTTAGGAGCTGCTATTAATAAAACCCGTTTAAACTATTAAACTACAAGAGACATTTGCTGGGCAAAAACTACTGGTGAAAACAGAAGGCCTGTGCAAATTCAGAAACAGAGCAAACAGGAACCCTGCTGTCTCAATTTCTATTTTTACAATACTAAATTTTGGCTGAGGAAAACTGCAAGTGGCCTGGAGACAGTGAAAGCGCAGCTGAAGGAGGATTTGCTTTTTATATGCCAACACACAGGACACATTTTCCCTAGTGTCTGATCCATCATCATTTCAAGAACATTACTCTTTCTATTAAATATTTCCCCCCCATCCTTTCTTCCAGTTAGAAATGTGGCTGAAGAGAAAAAGTGTATGGTGTCCCAAAGTCAAATCAGATATTCCCACTCACTGCCTAGAAAGCACAGCCTTGGTTAATTGTGACTGACTCAATGCAAACTGAATCTCAGCTGGAATCCTTTATGTTATCCGTACAGAATTCTGACCTGGAAAGAATTTAGACTTCTCATTGGGTTGCACATGCTCACCTCTTTGTAACAGAGTGCTGCTGAAGGCCGTAATGGAGGTGCAGGCCGCAAGCAGCTCAAACTCCACGGCTTAGGAGTTTTGGGAGGCTCCAGGGGTCCCCAGTTTATAGTGGTATGAGGCGTCCCATGATGTGAAGGATGTGGAAGAGTGTGGTATACTGGAGTCAGGGGCATTTGCTTGCTGTCTGCATGCTTGCTGGATGGTGTTACAGGATGAGAAGGAAGCTGCCAAAATGAACAAACATCACACAAGCAAAGAAAGAACAATCAAAAGGGAATGCCACGTATAATCCTACACCAGTAAGCTTTTGTTATTAAATTTGCTGCAGTAAGACTTAAAAACAGGTTTGCTAGAACTTACCAATCTATTGGTATGGTATGGTTAGCACATCGCATTAAACCATAGTTTAAAATGAGCTATGGTTGAATGCGAATGCTTCTACCTGCTGCAAACAAAAGAAATCAGAGTTTGGTTTATCTTTGTGCCCGAACACAACATGCTTCTTTCCCCCCAAACAAATCACAATATTTCATTAATACCCTACTTTAACACAGCTCCAACACTGACTACAATTATCAGGATGCATTCGTTTGTCTCCAGGAACACAGAAAAAAATGACCTATTTTAAACCCAATGGTACTAAAGGCCTCTTACCGTGTGAGATGGCACAGAATGAGGTTTAATAGCAGGCATCCCAAGAGTAGTCACTTTGGTTTGCTTCTGCAGATGATCTACCCATTCATGCAAATCTTGTTGGTTGTTACAAGATACCAATATCCGTTCAATCATACTTCCTGGAACCCAACAGAAAATACAGAAGGAAAGAGTGGTTGTGTTGAATTCTCACATTAGCAACAGCCAACACGGCAAAACGCTTTCCTGTTTCAAACAAATGAACATATTCTGCTTCTTAAGGATCAGCACACTTCTCCTGAATCTGGTGTCTCCTCCACATCATCACCTTACCACAATTTGGGAATGAGAAAAGAAGGATGCTTCCAGTTAAACAAGCATTCCTTAAGATTTCTCTTGTCCCTTTAAGGATGAGTAATACTTGGTTACAGAATATATGGGAGGTTTGCAGGTTACAAATACAAATACAAATGATGTTTAGGGCTTTACTCCCTATGAACCACTACTACCCCTGCACAACGATGGCCACCTCACAGAGAATCACCACTACATCTTCAAGAACCAGCACTCTTGTTTGGAGTGCTACAGTCAGCTAACTCTGCTTAGCAGAGAATATGGCTTGCTCAGGTTTTAGCTGGTGTTAAGTCTCAATATACCTGTGCTGTATAATTTCCAGGCACAAATCAAGGTGCTGATTTTGACCTCTGGAACTCTAAATCAGGGGTGGGGAGCCTATGGCCCTCCAGATGTTATTGGGCTCCAACTTCCATCAGTCCCAGCCAACATGGCAAAAGATTAGGGATGATGGGAGTTGTAGTTCAGCATTATATGGTGGGCCATGTGTTCCTCTCCCACTGACTTGGGCCCTGTCCATCAGAATATCTGTTCCTCTAGTGAATCTCTCTGGGATCAACTGAGGAAGCCTTGCTCCAAATGCCCCACCCCCCACCCGGGACTTACTGTGACTTTGGGAAGGACCTTTTTAGCTGCTGTTGCCCTGTTTTTGGAACAGCCAATCAGTTTGCAAGAGCTTTTTGGGGGGGGGAGTGCAGTGAAGGCACTAAAATCCCCTTCCACTAAAGCCCTTTTCAGGTGTTCAGCTGGACAGGTGATGGCAAAAATATAAAGAGGGAAAGGGACACACAAATGGGCACTGCAGAAAACTTATGAAGATCAGGGTGGAGGAGAAGGAGGCATTGGAGCAGGGCTGACATGTATACTCCTATTCCTCTACCCACTTTCCCCCTCGCATGTGCAGGATGAAGGCTTGAAGTGATTGCTGGCCCAGTGATCGAGTGGATTCCAATTCCAGGCATCGAGACCATATTGTTATTTTACTGGTATACTGCTGATTTTTTTTACTGGCGAAGCCTGTCTTGAGTTCTTTTTAAAGAAAACAACAACAAACCCACATACTATTTTAAAAATGAATAAATTATAAACAGTATGACGAGAGAGGTCACTTAAAACTGTCTTGTGACTTATTTTTTCAAGCTGGCTTTTGTCACATAAAATGATACAAACAGAACCAGACAGGGAAGCACAAGGACATTACCTGATATTTCAAATGCATTTCTGTGATTTTCACTGTCTTCTAGCTTTGCAATGGTCATGCCTGTTAGCGGCAATTTCCCCTAAAAAACAGATATATCAAAGCATTCTTTAAACAAAATCCAAAAACATGGCAGCCTTGTATTTAAGCACTAGCCTAGGAGCCATGGGTGACAAGGAACTGCATGCAGGGAAGCAAGCGTTCTGCCAAACAAAAAGAAGGGAGTTCTCTGTCTCTTCTCTGCCAGCCCCCAGCAGATCAGTAACTTTTGTGAGCTTATTTACATTGATAAATCCTAAAATACATTCAGTAAATGAAAACAAATGTATGAATTGTTTTTGAGCCAGGGGGTGGTTAAGCAAAGATTGGGACACAGCTTGCTCTTGGAGAGTGGTTTATGTTCAATATCCACAGTTCTGCCTTTATGCTCCTTACTTGCTCCTCTACCACAGTAGCAGCAGGCTGAGGAATCTTTTTCAGTCATTGAGGACCACATTCTCTTGTGAGAAACATTGCAGAGGTTGTATGTTCATGGTGGTTGGAGGTGGAAGCAGAAAAAAGGGGTGCGCCTCCTCCACGAGAGGGCAGCAACACAAGAATGGGCCTTTTCCGCTTGTGGAATGGTCTGCCCAGGAAGACTTGCCTTGCGTCTTCGTTACCTATCTAGAGGTGCCAGGCAAGAGCATTCCTCTTCTCCCAGGCCTTTGGCTACCGTATTTTTCGCTCCATAAGACGCACTTTTTCCCTCCTAAAAAGTAAGGGGAAATGTGTGCGCGTCTTATGGAGCGAATGCGGGGGAGGGGGGGCAGGCAGGAAAAGCCTCCAAGAGCCGCACACAAGCTCCGCGCGGCTCTTGCAGGCTTTTCCACAGGAGGGAGAATAATAAATAATAATAATAAATTTTTATTTATATCCCGCCCTCCCCAGCCGAAGCCGGGCTCAGGGCAGCTAACAACAATAAAATAATACAACATTCTAAAATCATTTCATTATAAAATTAATTCAAATCAAATTGATGGCAACCATTGGGCTAGAGTTCTGTGAAGATTGCCAAAGGAGGGAGTCAGGCTGTGCCCTGGCCAAAGGCTTGGTGGAATGCGGCCAGTCAGTCCCTTCTCCCTCCTCGTAGAAAAGCCCACAGGAGCTGTGCGCTCCTTAAAAGGTCCGCGGCTCCTGTGGGCTTTTCTAAGAGGTGGGGGAATTCCCCCACCTCCCGCAAAAGCCTGCAAAAGCCACGCACTGTTTAAAGAGCTTGTCGGGGCTGGGGGGGGGGGGAACCCGGGCTTCCCCCACCAGCCCCGAGAAGCTCTGGGAGAAGCAGACATGCTGCTCTTTGGGGCTGGGGGGCGTAATATTTTTTTTCTTGATTTCCCCCTCTAAAAACTAGGTGTGCCTTATGGTCAGGTGTGCCTTATGGAGCGAAAAATACGGTAATTAAACAATCTATAGCATTTTAAACTGTGGGGATGTGTAGTTTTTGTTTGCTATTGTGGCACTTTTTGGTGTTTTTATATTGCAAACCGCCCTGTGAACTTCAGATGAAGGGCGGTATAGAAATTTAACAATCAAATAAGTGACTCTTGCTGCTGTACGGTAGACTTCATTCCAGTCACACAAAGGTCAGCCATTTCCACAAACATATATACCTCCAGCAAAGCAAGAGGCATTATTGCAATTCAAGGCCACATCTGAGCCACACAAAAGTACTTCAGGATGCCAAGAAGGGGTGGTGAAGGGGGCATGATGTAGGGGAGGGGGAGTCCTAAGGCAGTGTTTCCCGACCTTTTTTGGGCAAAGGCACACTTGTTTCATGAAAAAAATCTCGAGGCACACCACCATGCCAGATGGGGAAAGGTCACTTTTTACTTATGTAAAAAAAATATAAAAAATAGTAACAGCATAGAAGGTAATGAAAGGATATGTTGATGGTTCAAAGGGGAGTCAAGAGAAAACTTGCTTCACCAGCAGATCAGTAAGCAATTAGGAAATAAACTTTGGTGCTCTGAGGTATACAAAAGTTAACCGTGGAAAAGAATGTATATGCTTGCTGCAAATAGTGAGATGATGCAACATTAGTTATGGGGGCGATCCGTCCAAATGTAACACTTTTAGGTCATTTTCAGTAGGAAAGATTTAAGAATGGGTTGCATCTCCCCCCCCCCGGAATGGCTTAAAATAGTGATTCCCTTGGGTTGCACACCCTGTTCTATGCATTTGTTGTTGAGAACTGGCGCATCTGGGACTCCTGGGCCTCCTGAGAGGGACGTTGGCTTTGCCTCTTGGCGGTTTGAGAAGCATCCCTGACCTTTGCAGGTGTCCACACACTTCCACGTCGCGCTCCTGGGATCGTGTGGGGACTAAGAGACGGCCGGAGGGGGGTCTGGCGAGCCCCTGGGCACGATCACCCTCGATTACGGGGAGCAGGGGGCTCTTCTGAGGGGAAAGCGGAGCGCAAGGGGGGGGAGAGTGCGCTCCCCGCCAGAACCGAAAGGAAGAGCCGGTTCGGGGCGGGGGGGAGCCAGAGCAGCGGCTGCCCCCCTCCCAGCTCCCACGGGACCTTCCACCTGAAGGAAACCCTTTTCCCGCCCCCGGAGAGCCTCGCGCGTGGGGTCCAGAGGGGGGAGGGGGAGAGAGGCAGAGAGCAGAGGGCGCGCACCCCCCCAGCCACGCATGCGCGCCTCAGCCGCGCCTGCTGGGCGGTCCTTTCCCCTGGGCTCCGCCCCTCGCGACACAGGGCCGCCCGTCGCAGCGTCGTCCCGCGGGGCTGGCGCCGGGCGCGGCCACGGATAGAGCGAGCGAGGAGCGAGAGCGCGCCCGCCCTCGGCTGGCTGACTGGCTGGGCTGGCGGCGAGGGGCAGAGGCGAGAGGCTGCGCGCGGATCCGGCGGCGGCACGCCCCCGCCGCCGGAGGAGAGCAGAGGCAGGAGGAGGAGGACGAAGGCGCTGCCGAGGAGGCGCGCCAACTTCAGCGCCCGCCCCGTCGCCGCAGGCTCCTCCCGGCCGAGAGCCGAGAGGATCGGCCGGCGGCGGAGCAGGAGGAGGAGGATCGGGTTTGGCGACGGCTGCTGCGTCCTCTCCAAGCGCGGGGCTGGCCTCCGCCGCGCCCGATCCTCTCGCCTCTCGCCGCCCGACTCGCCCGCCTCCCTCCCACGGCACACCAGGCAACGTCTCGCGGCACACTTGTGTGCCGCGGAACACCGGTTGGGAAACACTGTCCTAAGGTCATGGAGGGAGGCCTAGAGGGTCATTTTGGCCTTCAGACATAATGTTGCCCACTTCTGCCTTATAGGATCAGTCAGAGGATATGATACAAATGTTCCAAAAGCTAAAGATTACATAAACATAGTATGCAGAAAAAGTTATACTAAAAGTTGTTTTACCTGATAGATAAACCCACTCATTCTAGGACTGGCGGACAACATGAGCAATATGTTAGGAAAGAGAAGAAGGTATCTTTCATTCTTTTCCTTATTAAAGAGAGAGAGAGAGAGAGAGAGAGAGAGAGAGAGAGAGAGAGAGAGAAGGCGAATCATTAAAATACAAAGTTACAATTAAGTGACAAAAGAAAATTTCATATGGCATATTGTGATCACAAACACTGGTATGTGTTGTTGCTTTAGTAATATTAAGGCATGTCAGGCATTTTTTAAAAACAAGATTATCCGGGGGTGTAGTGAAGTCAGGAAATCTTAGTACGTTAAACTTTGGTTCATGTAAGAGTGAGGCATTGTGGGGGAGTTAAAACTGTGAATTTCTGGGAATGGATGTCTAGGTTCTGCAAACCACCCTGTCTTTAGACGCGTGAATCAAATTGCATCCTGACTTGGGCAGGAAGGAGATGTTATCTGATTTGTAAATTCTGGCAGCTGGGGGCTCAGATGTGGAATGGATGTGAAAAGGCTATCGGGTAATTTACAGCTCAAGAGCCTGGTACATGTCAGAAAAGAATGGGAACAAAGAAGCGGTCTTTTGATCTCAAGGTTCTTTGAGCATAAACAAAGTTCAGCTGTGCTGGCCTCCTGACAATCAGGAGATACAGTCCCATCATATAGCCATTGGTAATTAACTTAAAGAAATAATTGGTCCCTAAACCCCTTCTCCATGTGGGATTCTCAAGGATAAAAGTTTGGGGAATTGAGATGAAAATTGCAGACTATCTTGCCCTGGTGTTCGCCTGAAGGTGTTTGACCAGAAGAATGGACTTTGTGACTTCTTGCTATGCTTTGAACTACTGATGCTTTGTGAGTATGTTGTAGTTAGCTATATTGCACAGTACAATGTTTTTATTTTATTTTTGTTTGTAACCTTCCAAGAAATGTGCAAGCTTTTACTTTCCAAGTGGCTTTTTCAATAAATTTGGAAAAGGACTTTTGCCTTTTGTATTTGGTGACTTTTGCCGGAGTAGCTAAACTGGTTCCTAACCCTTGGTGCATCTATCTGTTGGATTACTGTCTGTGTCACGGTACAGTGACACAGGTCTGGGCAACCTGGTAAATATCGAAGGGGGGGGTCTTCTCCTTGGACCCCATTCGAGGGTTGACCCAGGAAAGGTGGTGGTGGCAGCTTTCTACTGTTTGGCTTGTGACTTGCAACACCTCGCGTCCTCTCCCTTTGGAGGACTGGTTGGGGGGGTGGATAGGGGCTCGCGAACACGACAGGGGGGCGGCAACCACTTCGGGTTTTCTTTTAAACAGAGCTGCATTACCTCACTTCCAGCACACTGAATCATGACTTGTGACATGTAAATAACATTTCCAAGTGTTTTAATGTCCTCTCCTTCCCAGCAGCGGATAGCTTCTGTTAGTATCTGGAGTTCAAGCTCCTTTCTTTTCCGTACTTCTTGACACTGCGCCTATTGGGCCAGGAGAAAATGCTATGAGCCAGGATGCAAGCACAACTGAAATAGCCCAGAAACAACAGTTACTCAGTACCATGCCTGGACCTTTTCATTTGATTTGGCTGTAGAAGAGGAGAGACACTCAGACGTAACTGCATCTTGAACTCTCCAGACCACCAAATCCCAACTACTCTTTTTTCTACTTAAGATGGCTATGCATTGTATCATTGCTGCTTTAAAGGCTATTCTATACTTGAAGCCAAAATAGAAACTTGAGGCACCTCAACAGTAGTGGGACAGCTGGTTACCAAAGTTTTGTTTTCCCTTGACTTTTTTTTAAAAATCCCTTAACGTCCATCTCTTACCTTTCCTCCTCAAGGTGTCATTATGATTGCAAGCTATGGGTAGGGGTTGTCTCTACTTAACTGTTTCATGTATAACATATAGCTCCTATAGGCACTTGAAAAAACATTATTAAAGTATAATCAGTTATAATGACTTAGCTGTCCTAGTCTGATATTTCAAGTGTTTTGTTTTTAAGCTGTTTCTACACAAAATATTTCAACACTTGGTTTGACTTCTTACCAATTCTTTTTGTCCTCTTTTAACAACTGAAATATTTTACAAAGAGCTATATATATCCTTTCATTCACTGTGCTCAGTAAATAGAGAACACAATCAATTTTAACCCAAGAATTACATTATATAGGACATTTATCGCCATATAAGGGTGTGTGAAATGTGTGAAACATCCTAAACAAAGGAAGCTGCTCAAGAAACTTCAAGCACAAATAACTTTTTTAAAGAGTTTCAGCATACTGGGGTTTGCTTCTTTTCCCCTCTGTGAACCTCAACTGCAGAACGCTTTCTCAAGTTTGCCTGCCTCGAACTACTTTACTACATTAAGCATTTGCACAGGAGGAGTATATCTAATTTAAACAGGAAAAGCACCTGCTAGTTCTGCATTCTGAATGACCAGGTTCACATTCAAATTCTGTTGACCAGAGATCCATGGGAAGAATGATGTGTAGGCAGCCTAACACCACACAATCAAACAGGAAGCTGGCTATGTGGACCAACCACAACATGGGTGCTTTTATCCTTATATGGATTTATAGTACTGGAATTCACTCAGATTTCTATATGCAAAGGTTTGAGTCATGGTATTTCATGTAGTACCATGTGACTCCCCTTTTATCCTATAAACTGTCTGTCCCTTGAACCCAGACCAGAGTTTCCAGCGGAACCATCTTTTTAAAATTTCTTCCATAGTGATTCATCTTTAAATACTGTTCCCTCATGATACCCACCCAAAGTGGGTGACTCTCGTGACTCTGATACGCTATTTTGTATGATGTTTAGACTAGTATGTTGCCATTTATCTCCTATGTAACTTACAGAAAGATTTTTGAAAGCTGTCATGGATTTCTGAATGTCAGGCCGGTCTGGATGATAATCCTAAAAGAATATTAAAAGATATATGTAATATGAAAGGAACAAAGTTTACTTTACATTCTATACAAGGTTTACACATTCTTCTGGTATTATATATAAATCAAATGTTAAGATACATTTCTCACACCTACGCTGCTTTAAATGCAGCAAACCTCTAGATCAGGTCATGCCAGAAACAGAGAACAAATTTTATTTTAAATAAGCCCATTCACTCCCACTGGCCTGGTGACACTTCGCCTGATGGACTAGCCATAAATCTGTATCCTTCACTCACTTCTATATAAATACCTAGGGGACACAGGTGGTGCTGTGGTCTAAACCACTGAGCCTTCTTGGGCTTGCTGGTCGGAAGGTCGGCAGTTCAAATCTGAGTGATGGGGTGAGCTCCCATTGCTCTGTCCCAGCTGCCAACCTAGCAGTTCGAAAGCACGCCAGTGCAAGTAGATAAATAGGTATCGCTGCGGAGGGAAGGTAAACAGCGTTTCCATGCGCTCTGGCACTCGTCACGGTGTCCTGTTGCGCCAGCAGCAGTTTAGTCATGCTGGCCACATGACCTGGAAAGCTGTCTGTGGACAAACACCAGCTCCCTCAGCCTGAAAGCAAGATGAGCGCCGCACCCCATAGTCACCTTTGACTGGACTTAACTGTCCAGGGGTCTTTTACCTTTAATCTTTATTCTAAATACAATTTGAGCAAGATTTCCCTGGCGCACAATTTAAAAATAAGTTGATTTACTACTGTAGATGTAACAGTAGCAGCTGGTGGGACTGCCCTGCCCTGCCTTCTGAACATGCTGGGTCACTTACCAAAAAGGAAAAAGGCAAGGCAGCTGGAGCTCAGTGTGGTGCAGGCGCTGTGGCAGAACCAGCCCAATGCTCCAGATGCTGTGTCCTTACTGTGCCTACACCATACCAAGCTCTCAATGCCTTGCCCCTCTCCCTCTTGGTAAGCAGGTGTGACCTGACATATTCAGAAGACGGGAGAGCAGAACAGTTCCATTGGCTGCTACTGGATGTAAAGAGGAAAAGGAATTTTGTTCCAGCCCTAAAGCTAATCAAAATATGTTTGACCCTTGCAACTAAAAATTCTATGTCTCATCGTAATTTAACATTGAAACTAACCTTTCAGCCCAACTCTATACGACGTTGTCAAACCAAGTATGTTAAACTAGGTTTGGTAATGAGGACCAAGCCTATAAGTCGGATTACTGTGAATTTATACACACTGTTGAACAGCAGTTAAATAGCCAAAGAACTAAGGGGGGGGAGTTCCCAAATGTTAAAATTAAACAATTATGCCAATGTAGGTTTCATGGTAAGCTAGGAGTGCCGAGAAAAACACATATGCAATGGGGATGCACAGTCCTCTCAAGTCCACTTTGCTGTCCAAGCAACTGCTCACAAAACTCCAAAGGAATGTCAGAAAAGGCCTTCAACAAGGCTTGACAGCCAAGATTCATATATGAGAAGCACAAACAAGGCAGTTGTGTAACAGTGGAGAGACACAGGGAAGTGTAGCTCTGGGACTTTTTTCAGAGCATGCGCAATGTCATCATCTGTCGGGAGTGTCTTGCTCCAGCAAATGAGTGGGCTGATAACAAGACTTTCAGGTTTCACTACTGTTTGTGACAAATTAGAATCAGAGAATGAGGTCAGCTCACTAGTCTAAGGCTGCTATAGCCAATCCTGAAGCATTGGCTTTTATGCTATGAATTGATGTGGTTGTGCAGGTACGATCAGAACAGCTCCTTGCATTTTGGACTTTCCATGGGGGTCATCATTATGACCTCTTGCACTTCCAAGATTTACCATTACAGCACTGCTGTTAAATACCCACCCTGTCTGAGACATCCACAAGTGCCTCTTGGGAGACTGGAGTAATAAAAAAGCAACAGGTGGAGTGCCATATAAAATGTGGCAATACACTCATACTATAGGCCAGAGCAAGCCACAGTTTTAGGATTAGGGCATCTTATTTTTGTCTTTTAAATCACAGCCCCAGAACTCTAATGGAGTTGATCTTTCCAGACTACTATGACTTCCTTTACATCAGAAGAACCAGAGCATAGTAATGTCCTTTAGGACTCATCATTCCTGAAATCCACCTTTAAGGTCATCATTGTCAAATCATCATTAAGGTGGAATGTTAATGCTGCTGAGATATACCTCCATGTGTCTTTCAAGTTCTTTGAGCAATGTGGGATATTTATCCAGGCGCATAAAAGGTTTGCTCAGGCCTGTGGTCAATACAAGAATCCCAGGGCTGTTGGCTCCTTTCATCTCCATGAATTCTCCCAGCTCTTCACTGTTCATAAAAAAAGAAGTTAAAGTTAAAACAAAAGCAAAGAAGTAAAATCAGCCAAACCAGAGAGAAATAAATCATTTAACTTCTTCGGCAATAGTCTGCTTTTACTTTTTCTGAGAAAGGGTTAAGCTTCCTCATAAAATAAAATATGAACAAGCCTAATCTTATCCGTATTTTTTTGATGGAAAAGCAGTTCTTCAAGCTTAGCTTTAATTCTCTCTGAATCCCAGTTGAAAAGAATGCATCAATTTAGAGCTAAAATTAGGACTCCCAGCACTATAAATAATCAAGTATTTCAGGTGATGTTAAACATATTATTCATACTGATGACGAGAGCTAACGTCCAAGAAGATTAACAGTTCGACCCTGTGCTCATGTACTTGGAATTAAGCACTATGTTGTTCAATGGCGTTTAAACCCAAGCAAATCTGCACAGGGCCAAAGCATCAGGGGAAAATCACACTACCAAAATAATAACAAGCCACACTGTGAAATGAACATACTGGCCTTTAAGCAGGCATTGAAAGTTGCTTTCGTCTAATTATAGGTATTTTCAAGATCTGGTTCCTTTAATGCTGTTTTTTCATCTACTGTTATTTATTTATTTATTTATTGTATTTCATCCTATTGTTTTGTTTAATTTGTTGTTTTATTGTTATTGTTTAAAGTTAAGATATACTCAGGACAAAATGTTAATGTAGAAGGGTTAAGGATAATTTAAATATATAAATACACGGAACACAAAGTTAAATAATAGATTACTGAACGTTTTCCAGAAGAAACACAAATAAAAAGTGCATTTTTAAGAACCGCCATTGCAGTTGCATTTGTATAGCCTCAAATCTCCCACAGCAATTTAATCCACTTTAGCACAACTGAGAGAATGTCAAGAAAGCATTGTATGTTGGCACACCCACCATCAACACATACACACCCTTTTCAGCTAAGTCACAACATTCCTCTAAAAGGAAGTCTAGTCTACCTACACATCTGCAATGTTGCATTTAACTATTGTCATGCTCTAAATAGCAATCCAACAAGTGGAATTCCCAAAACTTTCCTCTGCTAGGTTCTCTTATGATTCCTTGCAAGATCTAGGGGTCTTAGTAGAACACAAGCTTAACATGAGTCAACTGAGGCTTTTCTCTTGGGCATGGTTGGCCAACTGGTGTCAAGGAAGGATAGGACGTTTTTCATGTATGCCACTACAGCAGCAAGAATTCTTCTGGCAAAGTATTGGAAGACACAAGAACTACCCACTCTGGAAGAATGGCAGACGAAGGTGATTGACTATATGGGACTGGCAGAGATGACCGGCAGAATCCGTGACCAGGGGAAAGAGACAGTGGAAGAAGACTGGAAGAAATTTAAAATATATCTTTAAAATTGCTGTAAAATTGAGGAGTGTTAAGATGTTAAGGAACTAAGAAATAGAGAATTGCAGCTGTAATTAATAAGTTAAAGAAAAAAGAATCTAATGAAAGTGATTTAAACAATTAATTAATTGGAGGAGTTGCTGAAGAAATGTTAAACAAGGATGCAGAAAAGGGGAGGCATGGGGAAGTCCGGGAAGTAAGGTGTATGAAAATAAGATTATGAAACTATACATGTTTATATGTTTGTATGTTTTTGTTTTGTGTATTGTTTGTTTTTATTATGTGTTTGGATATCAATAAAAATTTATTATAAAAAAAAACGGAAAAAAAACAGTGTGATGCAGCAGCAAAAAAAAGCTAATGCCACTCTAGGCTACATCAACCGAAGTATGGTGTCCAGATCAAGGGAAGTCATAGTACCACTCTATTCTGCCTTGGTCAGACCACACCTGGAGTACTGTGCCCAGTTCTGGGCACCACAATTTAAGAAGGATGTTGACATGTTGACATGTGTGCAGAGGAGGGCGACCAAGATGATCAAGGGTCTGGAAACCAAGCCTTATGAGGAACTGTTGAGGGAGCTGAGTATGTTTAGCCTGGAAAAGAAGAGACTGAGAGGAGATATGATAGCCATCTTCAAACATCTTAAGGGCTGTCACATGGAAGAGGGAGCATGCTTGTTTTCTCCTGCTCTGGGGGGTACAACTCAAACCAATGGATTCAAGTTACAAGAAAGAAGAACCCAACTAAACATCAGAAAGATTTTTTTGATAGTAAGAGCTGTAAGACTCCTGCATTTCGGGGGGTTGGGCTACATGACCTTTGGAGTCCCTCCCAACTTGACAATTCTATGATTCTCTAAGTCTGAACTGACCTTTCCCCATCCATACACTGAAGAGTCAAATGCGTCCTTCCCACTGAACATTCTCATTGCCAAGAAAGTCCAAGGCTAGCTGCAACACCTTCCTGCTACCGCAACACTTCAGGAAAATATAGTTTTGATTTCAGGAGTAATATCAAGCTTCCTCATTTTGTGTTTAAACCAAATCCCTAAGACCATAAAAATGGTCCACACCACCACCAATATGTTCATGGACTTGTGCTTGACAGAAGGCTGTATGTACATACGCTATATACAAAATGTGAAGTACACAGAGCAGAAACAGTTTTTATATTCAAGAGTCCGTGTATATTCAAACATAACACAGCCCTGCTTTAGCTACAAAACTCACTACATGGGATAGAATCAACTAGCCAAGCACTTAAAAATAGAATCTTTTCAATAGTGTTCTGATCAAGAAAGAACTTTTCTTTTTTTAAAAAACCTGCCATTAATGAACTATTTAAAGACTATGCATAGTTAATTTATTTCCTTCAACAACCATTACATCTACAAATCAGTGTGGTTAGTTCAAGATCACAGCTGTTTTAACAAAGACACTAAGTTTTTATAATATGCACTTTTGTCCAAATGCTGCTGAATATTTCACAATGAATCCACTCCATATTTAGCTAAAGCAGTACACAGGGAAGAAACAAAATGAGATATGCAAGAGATAGTAGTTTAGCCAAGAAACAAATAGGCCTATTATTAAAATCTTAAATCTATCCAAAACAGACTAGGTATGTAAAATAAACAAGCATAAATATTATTATGAAGCTAGCATACATTTACAAAATTTGGGTATCAAGGATTTTTTGAAACCTCTCCTATATAGTCCTGAGAACTGACTGTTTTTATCATCCGTGCTTCGTGAAGTCTCCTAGGTTAGTAAGGTATTAAAATAGAATTTGCAATTTGCCTCTAAAAGGGATCCAAACCAACAACATTTTTAACATGTAAAATCACTTAAAAAACAACAACAAAAAACTAGGAAGAGTATCTTTAAAAACCTCAAAGCACCTACAACCATGTGAACAATAGGAAAACTCTTAGCATTAAATGAACAAACAAATGGAAAAAGAAACATTTAAAACTGCAACTTACACTTCCAATTCCTGTCTATAGTAGACGGAACATGAACTCTCACTGCTGAAAGGTCTAAATATGTCACATAGACAATGCATGCTGAAAACCCTCCACTAAACCCTTGGCTCACTTAATGACTCTAAGCTTTTTACTGTCTCTAGTGCAGCATTTCTAGATAGAATGCCTTATTCTTGGGCTGTTGCTTCAAGTATGACATCACCCTCTATGTTAGCAGCCCTTTTTCTGAAGCAAAGTGGAGGAGGGACAAAAGGTTCTCTGACTCAGATGCTTATCTGTATTCCATGCTCCCATTATCTTCCATAAATGCTATTTAAGCTTTACATTTCGAAATCTGTTTTTGTTAAAAAATGCAATCAAGTAATTTCAAATCAGGTTCCAGCTACAGGATCTTCTAACACTCTGTTAAACTGTACTTTAAAAGAAAAAGTGGCTTTAAGCCTTGCTCCAGTTCTACAGATGCAATTTTTAGCCTGAAGCATGCAGAAGTCTTGAGTGTCGTGCTTGGTTGTAGTTTCTTTTTATAATCTGCTCTCTCATTTGGGTTAATGCTGGAAAAAGATTGCTTCCATTTGCCTCCATGGAAAGTATTCTTACCTTTGTTTTAAGACTTTTCTGCCTTTGGTAAAGATTTAACTGAGGCTGCATCAGTAAGACTGATGGGTAAAGGTAAAGGGACCCCTGACCATTAGGTCCAGTCGTGGACGACTCTGGGGTTGCAGCGCTCATCTTGCTTTATTGGCCGAGGGAACCGGCGTACAGCTTCCGGGTCATGTGGCCAACATGACTAAGCTGCTTCTGGCGAACCAGAGCAGCACACGGAAACGCCATTTACCTTCCCGCCAGAGCGGTGCCTATTTATCTACTTGCACTTTGATGTGCTTTCGAACTGCTAGTTGGCAGGAGCAGGGACCGAGCAACGGGAGCTCACCCCGTCGCGGGGATTTGAACTGCCGACCTTCTGATCAGCAAGTCCTAGGCTCTGTGGTTTAACCCACAGCGCCACCCACGTCCCTTAAGTAAAGACCTAAGATTGCTTTAAACCAAGTGACAATCCTGCTAGAGGGTGTTAAGAACTCCCAAAGTGAGAAATAGTCAGGTTACTTTGATATGTGGCTAACTACAGGTTTCTGAATAAGGAGCGAGGGCTAACGATGGATGGAAATGTCCACATTCCTTCCAAGTCTAAAATAATATAGTTATAAGCTGAATCAATTAATGGCCCTATTGGTCCGTAGATAATCATTTCAAAACATCGGGTATCAGAAAAAGGAAACCCTATTCATCTGACCAAGGATAGTGATGTAGACCTCAAATTTTATTATTAAAATATATTTGTTTTAAATGAAAGCACTTCTGTGGCAAGCTAGTTTCTACTGTCTATTATACTCAAAGCACAATCACATTCAATCAATCAATCCCACAGTAGGCTTGACACAGCCCTTGATAACAACACTGAGTGGAACTTGAACCCCTGAACCTTAGGAATGTAGCCAAAGCCTCAACACACTCAACCACTGTGCGTCTTTTGAAAACGAAGTAAAAAAATATATATTAGGAAGTGTCAACACTGTGCTCCCAGCCACAGAATTAAACACACCGGAATATATTATAAAGATTGCTACCATAGGTGCTAGTGTTAGCCTGGAATCGTCCGAAAGAATCATGTTTTTCCACAGGCTGTGCAAAATTACTTTTACTTATTGTAACATCCCACCCAACATTCAGCCATTCGATCACAATACCATTCCAAAAGCACAATGGTTTAATTTCAGTTTTAATGCATTAAGCAAATATAATTGAAGCAGAAAATCCTAGTCCTGTTCAGATACTCCAACTTTTAATATGGTACTTTAGAAATTTTCTCAATTTTTAAAATAAATTGCCTAAGAAAAGGAACAACTCTGATTGATCGGAGCAAAGTTGCATCTAGTCTGCATTCTGCTTCCCAAAATGGCCAACCAGATCTTGAATGCAATAGCTCTCGCCTGCTGTTGTTTCCCTAGCAGCTGGCATTCAAGGGGATACTGCCCCTAGACATGGAGGTTCCATACATAGTCGTCATGGCCAACAGCCAGAGATAGCTCTATCATCCAGGAATTCATCTAATCCCCTTTAAAAGCCATACAAGTGAGTGGCCACCATCATTATCTTGGAGCAGTGAGTTCCATAGATTAACAATGCACTGTTTGAAGTGCTTAAGTGGAGGGAACGTGCAATTGTTGGAAACTACCCAGTCTGGTTCATGTAGGGCAGGGGTGGGAAACCTAAGTGGCCCTCCAGATGTTGGCGGACTACAACTCCCATCATCACTGGCCACTGGCCACACTAGCTGAAGCTGAAACCCAACATCATTTCAATGGTCTCAGGTTGCTTATCCCCGACTTAGAACCAAGGTATCATATGCCTGAACTACCTCTGTAACTATTATCTCACACATCCAATGAACAAAATTATTGAAGGCATTTTATGGACTGCTGAATCCTCAGCGTTTCTAAGTGATGTATATACAAATAGACCACACAAGAGATTAAAACAATAAAAATTCATTGTGAAACTGGGCAGTAACACAAACGCCACCTTAAAATGCCTGCCGGAATAAGAAAGCCTTTGTCATGTGCCTGAATAAAAAGTATTTGATTTATTTCAGGCACCGAACTAAATATGAATAGCACTACAGGACTTGTAAGATTGCAAACCTGTGCACACTCCCTCAGGAGTAAGGACTCAACCACACTTCTGCCTCTTTCCTCCAAGAAAACCTGCCGTTTACCACTAAATAAAAGTAAATATCTATTGGGTTTTCTCTGGACTGATGTTTGTTCCAATTTAGCAATAGCTCAGTTGGCAGAGCATGAGATTCTTAATCTCAGGGTTGTGGGTTTGAACCCCATGTTGGGTGAAAGATTCCTGCATTGCAGGGGGTTGGACTTGATGATCCTTCTGGTCCTTCCAACCCAATGATTCTAAGTGGAAGTGTGAACGAGCCCCAAGTTATATTGAAATCAATCTACATGCTGAACACCAGCAATGCTTATTCTCAAATCCTCCACTAAAAAAAGCTGATTTCAAAACTGACGCTCACATCTGCTGCCACTTCATCTTGGGTCTTGTGCCTGATAAAACACCTCAATTTGTTTGCAAAACACCATTAAAAAGTGGAAAGAAAAACCAAGTTAAATTTACAAGGTTTTCTTGTTCTTGATGCACATACCTGTGTTCTGTGAGGACGGTTACTGCCGACGGGTGGTTGGCACAGTACGCAAGGTATAAATTTTTCATTTGTGGCATCAAATTTAGGAAGCAACCACCAACCCGCTGCTGAGTTTCAGGCAACCTGAAAGAAAGCAATGTAAATGTAATTTTTTTAATGTTCTGAAGCTAAATGAACAATGCACTCCAAATGCACCAAGGACATTTGTTTTAGTAACCTCAAAGACCAAATGTAGCTTTGGGAGTCTAGTGTTGGGGAAATTGTTGTAAAATTGTTATATATTTGATAGCTTATTATGACTTGCTGTTACTTGGGATGCGATGCCTTCTATTTTTTACAATCAATGTCCTTGCTTTTGTGCCCATAAGCATGACAAACACAGAGGAGGAGAGATAACTCAGTGATGAAGAGAATGAAGCTAGAAGCAGGGATAAAAGGTAAAGGGACCCCTGACCATTAGGTCCAGTCGTGGACGACTCTGGGGTTGCGGCGCTCATCTCGCTTTAGTGGCTGAGGGAGCTGGCGTACAGCTTCTGGGTCATGTGGCCAGCATGACTAAGCCACTTCTGGCGAACCAGAGCAGTGCACAGAAACACCGTTTACCTTCCCACCGGATTGATACCTATTTATCTACTTGCACTTTGATGTGCTTTCGAACTGCTAGGTTGGCAGGAGCAAGGACCGAGCAATGGGAGCTCACCCCGTTGCGGGGATTTGAACCGCCGACCTTCTGATCGGCAAGCCCTAGGCTCTGTGGTTTAACCCACAGCGCCACCCACATCCCCTAGAAGCAGGGATACAATAACCCAACAGCCGACTCCCATGATCCTAACTGAAGAGTCAAAATTGTTACAGCTGCACCAACTTTAATGTTTTGAAATTATTTACTTCAAGAACGTTTACTGCTGGAAAGCATATTTTAAAAAAATAAAGAATAAAAATCACCTGCTTTAATATCCTTTATCACATTGCATAAAACTATTGGTGGTGGTTGTTTTTGAATAGTACTTTCATTTTTTTTGGAGAAGTCACTCCTGTTCTTTGTTCATACTTTGCAACTGAACTGCAAGATTTACACATTTACATCAACGTGTGGGCTACAAATGTCTACAGATGCCAGGTGTCATTCTAAACAGTTAAACATAAACAGGTCTGCTAGACTGGATAGTACATACTTGGTGCATTCTTCTAAAGACTGTACAAGCATTTGCTGAAAAGAACTGATTTCTTCTAGATTTCCCATTAAATATGAAGTATCTGTAGAGTTTAACCTGGAGCCAAAAAGAAAATAAGAAAATTAAGCACTTGTACGTAAAACAGCCCACATCATTTCTGGTGTTGCTTATATGGCCGTGACTGGCTTCCAATATAGGAGGCATAAAATCACTTTCCTTTCACATGCACCCCTGGCATTACAGACCCACCCCCAATTTCCCACTTGGGGGCTCAGGAAGCTAGAGAGGTGGGGAGACAGGCCAAAGCTCTTTCCCACTATATACATCCCGGAAGATGCTTTCCATACGCTTTGATTGACAGCTTCCCCCATAGCCAGATTCACTGCATATTCCTGCATTGCAGGGGGTGGACCAGATGACGCAACTCTATGATTCTATCCCAGAGTCCTCTGCAATACATAAAAGATGTGTGAGGTGGGGAACGGGGAAGGGGGGTTCTTCTCTGGCGCTAACTTGCATAGGGAGCTTGCCAGAACAGAATAATGTTTGACAGCCGCTGTAGAATCCTGTGATGTCATACACTCTGTGGCAGTTATTTCAGTTGGTTCAGTTATTAACAGTCTCACGATTCTCAACAACTAGATTCTTTTAAGGGAGTTCTTTTTGGATCATCTTTTAATAAAAGAATTTTTTTTATCTTTCATCTTGTTATTTATTATGAAGTAGCTGTCTTATTGCAAAAGAATTTTAGAAATACACTTGAAAGAGTAGTTGCTGAGTTACAACTCATTACCAAACTAAAAAACTATGGAGAGACCTGGTCTGAATAGTGATATTGGATTCATGTCCCATTATACATGCTAAAGCTAATTTTGGTCATCAGTCCCTTTAAAAAACCCTTGCCCTTCCCTGTGGAACCATCTGCCATCATTAACAGACATCAACAGTTATAAGGATGTAGCGACCTCTGTTTCAGAGTATCTGAAGAAGTGTGCATGCACACGAAAGCTCATACCTAGAAAGCTTAGGTGGTCTTTAAGGTGCTACTGGAATTAATTTTTAAAACATTTTTTGGAAAGATTCTTTTAAAGAGCGTCTTAAGACAAAAAGACTTGATTCTCTTAAGGGAGTTCTTTTTGGATCATCTTTTAATAATTTTTTTTTAATCTTTCATCTTGTTATTTATTGCCATTCTCAACAGTTAAAGCAGCAAGTTATGTTGTGTTGTGCTGTCTGCCTCAGACTATCAGCCATCTGTAAATGTGTGTTCGTCTTTAACAGTTTAATCAACATAAGGTGCTTTAGCAACTAAAAAAAAAAAATCCACCTGCACTGTATAAATATTTTTACACTGTAACTGCAAGTACACCAGGTAAAAGTTATACATTCTTTGAACTTTAAAAGAGAGCATCTTTCGTAGTTTTTAACAGGAGGGAAAAGAGAATTAAAGGGTCAAACAACCCACATACACGTAGTTCTCTGTAAATGCGAACTAAAGTCTAATTCCCACAATATACACCTCTAACAAACTAAAAATCAGGTTCTCTTTCACCCATAAGCCCTTGGAACCATTGGTTGTGATGTCACAGAATGTTAATTCAACACATTGATAAAAGGAAAGATCAATATAAATTCTACAGGCCCCCCCCATAGGTAAAGGTAAAGGTACCCCTGCCCATACGGGCCAGTCTTGACAAACTCTAGGGTTGTGCGCCCATCTCACTCAAGAGGCCGGGGGCCAGCGCTGTCCGCAGACACTTCTGGGTCACGTGGCCAGAGTGCCATCGCTGCTCTGGCAAGCCAGAGCCGCACACAGAAATGCCGTTTACCTTCCCGCTAGTAAGCGGTCCCTATTTATCTACTTGCACCCGGGGGTGCTTTCGAACTGCTAGGTTGGCAGGCGCTGGGACCGAGCAGCGGGAGCGCACCCCGCCGCGGGGATTCGAACCGCCGACCTTTCGATCGGCAAGCCCTAGGCGCTGAGGCTTTTACCCACAGCGCCACCCGTGTCCCTACAGCCCCCCCCATACTAGCCTCCAAACAACAGATATAATATTGTGTGCATCTCTGTTACAGTGTCACAGAATACTACTATGACCCCTGAGGGTTAAAATTCCTGCATTGCAGGGGGTTGGACTAGATGACCCTCAAGAGTCCCTTCCAACACAATTCTAGGATTCTACTATTATGAATGCTTTTTGAATTTATTGCCTGCCCTTCACCATAGGCTCGCACGAGAGCAGGTTTTAAGCAACTTACACTGCCCATAATGTAAGGCGCTTAAGATGCATGGTGGCTCAAATAAGGTTTTTCAACGGCAAGATGTACTTACTTTTCACTAGCTTGTAAGGGTCGCAGGTAGTTAGAAAGCATGGTCTGTAGTTCCTTAGCATATTCGTTTTCTGTCTCTAGAATGTTTTGTAGCACCTATAATACATTAAAAAAGGCCTGTGACTGTCGTGTTAAAGCTACAGAGAGGAGGAAACCAAAATGTCAAGACACCAATATTGTTTTCTATAGTTTGACTGTAAATAGGAGAGGAAGAAGTGTGCACTTGATTAAAGGTGTAAGCAATTAGCGTAGTAAAAAAAAAAGCACGTTTTTAAAGGGTCAGAATGGTAGGAAAGGGCTGTAGTAGAATCAACACTTTGCAGGGTTAATCCTCAGCATCTCCAGGTTAGGGCTGGAAAAAAATCCTGCCTGCAAAAGGCAGTATGTCTGGCATATCTTCCTTATAGCGCCTTGATTATTTAAGGCAGCGATGGCTAATATTTCTTGACAAATGTGTGCTAGAAATTAAAAAGTGTGAGATGGTACAGTGGTACCTCGGGTTAAGTACTTAATTCGTTCCGGAGGTCCGTACTTAACCTGAAACTGTTCTTAACCTGAAGCACCACTTTAGCTAATGGGGCCTCCTGCTGCTGCCGTGCCGCGGGAGCACGATTTCTGTTCTCATCCTGAAGCAAAGTTCTTAACCTGAAGCACTATTTCTGGGTTAGCAGAGTCTGTAACCTGAAGCGTATGTAACTTGAAGCGTATGTAACCTGAAGCGTATGTAACCAGAGGTATCACTGTACTCTGCTCTGCAGCTCTCCTTCCTGCCTTGGGTGTGGTTTTTGCCACAATCTACAAACAGCGGCACACAGGAGTGGTATCGGAAACTCCAAATCTCATTGTACTGCAACCCTGAATTTCTTTCTCACACCTTTGTCTAACATTACACACACACACACACACACACACACACACACACACACTGGAGTGCAGGCGCAGCTAGATGTCAGTTTTTGAAATTAGCCAGGTGCATTTTGCGACCAAGTGAAGATGCCCAGGCACCAGGATGCATCCTGACATCTACACCATCTGGAGGTGCATGCCTGGAGATCATTGGATCTGGGCTGTTTACACACACTAATACCACAATGAATTATATTTTATCTGCACAATCGGAATGAATTTCTGGAGCCCAAATGCTTTTTCTGCGCAGCCTGAGTGGGAGCAGTCACCATTCAGAAAAAGAGGTCTGAATAGGCCAATATATATACAGTGGTACCTCAGGTTACATACGCTTCAGGTTACAGACTCCGCTAACCCAGAAATATTACCTCAGGTTAAGAACTTTGCTTCAGGATGACAACAGAAATCGTGTGGCGGCAGCAGGAGGCCCCATTAGCTAAAGTGGTGCTTCAGGTTAAGAATAGTTTCAGGTTAAGTACGGACCTCCGGAACGAATTAAGTACTTAACCCGAGGTACCACTGTATATGAGGACTGTCCTGGATCAAGTGACTTTTCTTCTTCAAGTTTTCAAAGCTCTTAACCCAGTTCAAGGCTGTCGCCTGACCTAGCCAGATGTTTAACTGAGAATCAATCACAGTCAGTCCATCATTTGAAAAATAAGACTTTGGAGATGTCTTACCCAAAAATGGCAACCAGATATTTTAAGGAGCCATTTAGTACCTAGCTTATATATGAGTTTCTAACACTGCCAGGTGTACAACAGAACTGCCCTAGGAGTAGGGAAATGTAGTAGTTTTCAGTAGTTGCTAAGAGCATTGCAATCTGCAAGAATAAGCTATCTGTTTTTACCGCTACTTTCCCTTTTAAACCCCCAATTTTTTATTACTTTGGGAAGGCTAATATAATGCAATGGATCTCCTAGGACCCCCATGATCTTAGGATGTCGTTAGCCTAACTACATTATTCAATACAGCAGTTTATAGTTGGTATGGGCATAAAACCATTATTCATGCCAGATGTCTATATGAAAACCTGATGAAACAAGTGGCATGCTGAACTATTTGAAACGGAGAATTCACTGCTTCTTTCATTAGTGTTGCTGAACTCAGTTTTATTCCTTTGAATAGGCCTATTCAGCTGAAGAGAGGGCGCGGAGGGGGGGGGGAGACAATTTCTGAGTTCATTCTTTTGTTGGTAACTTGACTCCTGCCCCGAAGATTAAAATGTCTCCATTTTGCAAGAAGCGCTACGAAGGACAGATGTCACAAAGAACACATAAGCTATTAATTAGTCGGTCAGAAAGTACTGGCTCGCACACAAGAAGCAGAAAGATTAATAAATTATATCTTAGAAAGAAAAGACCATGTTGAAACATCAGCAGGCCACAACACTATCGCATACATGGTAACCTGTTGCCTGCTGCATTACAAAACCAACAATCAGCAAAAGTCGCATTGTATGTGGGGAGGGGGGCATTAAATAAGCATCTAGAAGAAATATTTTATAAGGCTTTCAGGTATTACACTGGCATTATTTTGCATCATTTTTACGCAGGCGTCATCAAGGTGTATTCTCATGCTCTAATCTCTGAAAAAACATTAATTAACTGTATTAGTCTTTGAATTAAGAGTGATCCTATTAAGAGACACTTAATAGTACCACTCTTAAATGTTTTTAAATTAACTGTTTTCAATTTTAAAATGCACACAGTATATTTGCCAATCTGAGAAAATAAACCGTATCTAAATTAAAACATGCAGTGTAACGCAGTTTCTTAATTACCAGCAGCTAGCAGAGCTGCATTTCGGCTAAGTGTAAATTAAATTCCCACAAATAAGCATGTTCCTGAAGTTTAAATAAATTCTCCTTTACATTTCCTGCATTCATGAAGTACCATTAAAAAAAAAAAGCCTATTTTGACTTTCAAGATTCATACTGATTTTTATGCAGAAAGTTCTCAATTCTCATAATTTCTTTCTGTCTCCCTGTTGGATGGGCTTCAAGTTCACTTACCTGCCTCCCAGCCAGACAATTCACATTTACAATATTTTTGGAGGTTACAAAGCTCTTAATAATCACCTTTCTCCTCTTTCCTGCTTTCTGCACATTCTGGCTGCTGCAAGAACCCATGAGATTTCAAAGACCCAAAAGCTCCATCACCATCTGATGGAACTAGGTACCAACTGTGGACTGCTTTCACAGACATGGTAACCTTTAGCAGTCTGTACACAAATGAAAAAGCATAAAGAGCTGGATTCATTCAGTGTGAGCTATTCCCTCAGTCACAAGAGGGGAGAAAAATATCAAGTATGTCTAACAGTTCACTCACACAATGTCCATTTATCATCCCTAACTTTGACTATTCTTTTATTCAAAAGAATAAATAACAAAACTGCTTAAATGACTGTTTTGATATCAGGTGAAAGGAAACTAAGGGCCACTTTACAATGTTTTTTCTTCCACTACACTAAAAAAAAAAAAGGGGGGGGAGATACACAATCATAAAGAGAAGCTGCCTAAGTACCCAGAAACTTTTTGGAGCAAAATAGATCCTTGCATTTTTTATATATTTTTTGCATGTAATAGCATATACTTCCCCCCCGCCCATCCTAGAAACAGAAGAACTGAGAATATGCAGAATAAAAAGTCAAAAATATGTAATGCACAAATAATGGTGTGTATCTCTAAATAGACAAATTTCAAATAGTCACAAGATAATAACACATAAAACCAAATTCAACACTATACAAGAGATTGCTAAAAGTCCACAAAATTACAGGGGCCTGTCTCCTAATCTATTTTAGGAAATCTTCATCAAGTCCGTTTACATGCAACTCATAACATGTGTGAACATTCCTTTTAAAAAAATACACACACAAAAAGCCATGAAAAATGTGGGCTGAGTTTAATAACTTCACAGCAACTTTTCTGAATTTTCCAAGGAATGTTTTTGGACCCTGGGAGTCATTATGAAAACTTTCCCCAAGAAATACTCTTCACATATTCACATGTACAACTATCAAGTGAGAGACAAATGACAGATTTACTCAGCTTTGTCAAAGACTAACATTCCAGCTATGACAAGCACCCTTTTAATATTTTTCAGCAATGTTTAGATTTTGTGCCCTCATCAAGAGTGCAAGTTACATTTCATCAGTGACGTTCTCTAAAATTTGCATATTACATATTCACTTTTCAAACATTCTTTTTTTAAAAAAACAAACCAAAAACATTTACTATCCCAATCGGCTCAATTGTTCCCTTTCTTAATTCATTTGGAATAACCTCCTTTGAGGAGGGCAATGGTAGGGGACACAGGGGCCTCCAGATATTGTTGTTCTACAACTTCCATCATCTTTGAACACTGGCCAGGCTGACTGCTGAAAATGGGAGCTGAAGTCCAACAACATCTGGAGGAAGGCCATAATTAGGCTCCCTACAAACAGTTGTAGGGGAACCGACATCGTTCCATAGGAAGAAGTCCTGAGAGAAAATGGCCAAAGATGGCGTCTTGTCATAAGATTCGAACATACAGTTGTAAGTCTAAGTCCCAGTCTGGGTGACAGAGCACCATTCCTGCAAGGTGCAGAAGAGACCTTCCTTCTGTGACATCAATAAAATAGGAAATAAAAGAGCAAAAAACTGCACAGACTAGGCCTCTACATGACTGATCAGACATTCTTATGGAATGTATCCATTGTATATTTAGCATTATCTCTGCGGTGGAACAGGGCTCTTCCACAATCACACGAGGATGGTGCATCCCCTTCCCAATGTATGACATGGCCTATATGTGGAACTGGAAAAGCTCCTTTAAACACCTGATTCAGGTGCTATTAAGGCACACATCAAAAACCTTCCTTCCTTTTCCTATGAAGACCATAAGGAGAACAGGAATAGCAATGTGTGCATTAGCCCTCACTCACTCTTTTCAGACAACACAACCCGCCATTACTAGAAATACTATGAAAATGCCTGTTTGGAATCTGCACCAAAGCCATGTACTATTCCAAGTTTAATTTCCCACCTCTTTCTCTCTTGCTGCAGTTCAAAATTTTGTGCACACAGCAGCAGGTTTCTTGCACAAAGACTAGCCCCAAATGATCTCCTAGGACTTCCTCAGCACAAAAGAATTTGCAAATACAAGAGAGCTAAGGAGCACAGCCTCTTGACTTTGATTTCATTTTTTACATACTTCTTAATACCAAATCAAGACTAAATAGTTTACAAAAAAGACAGCAAATACAATGCACATAACAAAAGAAACATATAAAGGGTCAGCATGGAATAGCCTGGCCAACAAGTATCTGTAAGATGAGTGGAAGTTCAGAGAGAGGGGGGTATGGTCTGCAACCCTCTGACCTCCCCACCCTTCACTCCCCTTACTCTCTCCTACCCATAACCACCTGAATAAAAGCACCATCCCTTCCCTCTTTAACCGCCCTCTTGCCAAGGCACATTTTGACTCGCAAAATATGCAACACTCACCCCACCAACACATACACACCCCACCAGCTCTGTCTTACATCAGCTCCCAACTGATCTCCCTACTGCAATCATTCACACTGCATAAACACAAAGCATGCAGTACCCACTACTTATGGAAACACCTTTTCATTTTTGCACAAAGACAGTCTTCAAACTGAGCTGGGTATTTGGGGCGGTCTTCAACAAAGTAGTTCTGTTAGTGCAAAGACATTCACCTGTGTAACTGGATGCCTTGTCTTCTCCTCTCCCCCTGCACTCCCTAAATCTGTTATGGGGTTTTCCCCCAACCCTCCGAAGCAGATTCAGGGAGGGTGCAGAAAGCATGTAGGGAGGACAGATTCCATTTTGCAGACAGGAAGATCTTGCAATAACAAAACCACTTATTTGGATAACGTCCTTGGAAACTACTCAGACTTGATCATGGGCTCTTCCTTCTTCATCTTGTGCTGCTTTGTATCCCTAAAGTCATACAGGACAAAATGTGCATATTTTGTGCCAGTAGGCATATAAGGTGCCAGCTCTTCCAAATACTGACCGATTTTTAAGTATCAGCCTTTCACTTCAGCATTTGGGTTCCAATTCTTTAAGCCAAGACTGTAAACCTGTGAGCCTCCAAGCCACATATAGTGGCATACTGGGAACTGGGCAGCTTTCTGGTTTGTTGCCTATGTTGGAATACAAAAACGGGCAGGAGTTGTTGTCAAGCATCCTGGTTTGCCACAATACATGGCTAGTGGGCTCTCTGCAACTTAGCCAATAATGGTTTAAGGTGCTCAGATCCTGCAGATGAATATCATTTGCAAAAAAAAACAACAACCACACCAAACCATGACATCATCAACTTCGGCGTTCTAGCCTTAAGCAAGATTCTATGGATAAGTAGTGCACAAGAAATTCAGATAAAGATTACTCACCACATTATAATAGCTTTTGCTAATTGCAGATGTATCAAATCCCTTTGGTGGACTCTTCAGGCTTCCTGATTTTGGGGAGACGGGTTTTTCTGAAATAGGGAATATATTAGCAGTAGAATGCAATTTCACAGCTCAGACACTAGAGGTCAAACAAAATGCTCTTCTTAAATCTTGCTGCAGCAAGGTTCAGGACCATTTACTTCAGCTATTTATTTACAAGCACACAGCTCATTTATATGGATCCGTCTCGGCTTAGTAAACAAAGATATGAATGAGTCCTTTTGCCTGAGTGTTTCATGTTCGCAGAGTCCGTTCCATCAGCACACTGCGGTAAGCTAAGAAGTCTTCAATTAATAACAGTTCCTTGTTCCACTTTTAGAACAAGCCAGGATCTTAAACCACAATTTGAAGATTTTTTTAAAAAAGTCTGCCTTGTTCCAAACCTGGTAACCATTGTTTCCCAGTTTGGACACTACAGGAAACTGTAGTTAACTGCAAACTTATGGAGTTAAATTGCTGTGTGACAAAAAGGAAAAACACTGAATCTGGGTCATTTGTTGTAAATCTTAGCCTGGAAACTCTGGAACACATTATAGAAACTAACAGGTGTATTTTTAAAAAATGAAAGATAGGACCTGGGGCTTTACATTCCCTGTCACTGGTCAGTGAACCATCTTCACTAGGGCTGGGAATCCAAATGTGAAAGCTAGTAACTTGTAAACAAGTGTCAGAGCATACACCTACTTAGCAGTCACCATCACATGTGTGGGGATCTTACTGAGGCTGCTAAACATGAAAGGAAATCTGTGTATGTGCATGCAATGCACCTAACTATATTGTCAATACATGTACTGGAGTTTTCAGAATAAAACCTCTCATTCAGCCTCTGCCCTGATGTACAAAAGGTAGATTAAAGAATTTCACACTCATTTTTTAGCTGGGATACATTGGCATGCATCATCACAAATATATATGCTACATAGAAATCTACAAAGAAAGTAAGTTTGGGCAGTTTATAAGCAGACTCTTGAAACTCACCATTTGATTTTACTTCTCGTACGTAATTGCTGGGAAACCAGCCTGTCTTGCCATTGTGAGTTCCTTCCCACCAGCCTCCTTCTTCCACTCTCGTAACGTGAATAATATCTCCTTTTGTAAAAGAAAGTTCATCTTCGTTGGTTTGTTGAAAATTAAACTTTGCTCTTACCACCAGCTGGTGGTTGCTGTTATCTGTCATATCCTAGGAGTGACAAGACAAGCGAAAACAAAAGTTTTAGGTACTTTTTCAAAATGTTAACAGAATTTAACTGAGTGAGATGTATGAAACGGCATCTGCAAATCCCCAGTGCAGGATAACAAGACAGCTTTTTCACAGGCTGAAGAACAAGAAAGGTCTCCGTGGTTGTACAATGGATTAACCATTCCATTTCTATAACATTTGGGAGTCTAGGAAGATGTAGTAAACAGTCATGGTCCCCAGGCACACAAGACAGGCAAAGGTCCTAGAATATTATGAAGCCCATGATACTTTCCCACACTTATACTGTGAAACTTGGCATGAATTGAAAATTCACCCACCCACACATATTTGCTGCAACATTTTCCAAATTGAACCTGCAACTGCGTATTGATGGAAAAGTTAAGTCAAAACAGATGCCTGCTATCACTTTCCTAGGAGTGCCCTAAGAGCTCTTTCGTTTAACATCCCAGTCTGTATGTGTGAATCAGTAATGCAAAACGACTGATGCAAAACAAAGTGTATGAAAGGATACAAGCACTCTTTCACATCCATGGGTGGAGTCATTCAAAACAGACTGGAATAAAGCCAGCCACTGATTTTAGGATTTACGGCTGTCTTGACTAGTGGAAAGTATGCAGTACTTTCAGCTGCTTAGAAACTTCAGGAGTAAAGAGTACAAGACAGCCTCAAAAGAAGTGGCATGGCCGCTTACTCAATTCTAGAACATGGACACCAATTCCTCCATCAGCGTGACACCAACCTCACCCTTTGCAAACAGTGTGAACAGTCATTGTTCGGCAGATTTGCCATTCCTGGAAATGCATGGGATACCTTGACCATACCAAGCTAAGCTTCAAATCAAACACAGAAGCTATTTCTATATAGTTCTATAAAAGTTCACACAGTAGGAAGAAAGTGAGCATCAAATGGCAAGGACTGGTCATAAGACGTGGGCCTCATTTTGTTCATTTAATTTATATCAGGGGTGAGGCACTGCAATGTTGCTGGACTGCAATTCCCATCATTCCCTTGACCAACAGCCATGCAAGCTGGGGCTGATAGGATCTGGGAGTCCAACAGCATCTAGAAAACCACTGGTTCTCTGCAACCGATGCATATCATTGGTTAGTTGCCTTTCAGCAGAAAAACTCTGTTTGAGATGGAAAGCAGAGGAACAACATTTATATGAACTAATAATGATTTACTCTCACAGATTGTAATCATACTTCAAAAACTGAAAAAACCCACGGATTCAAACAAAATGTGAACCAAGAAACAGGGTTCGAATTCAACCACTCACTGGGTAACCATGGGCCAGTCACTGCCTGATGACCTAATCTACCTCACAGGGTTGTTATGAAGATACAATTGGAGAGGGCGGGAAACAAGCATGCCACTGTGCCCTCCTTCAAGAAAATATAAGTGTAATAAATAAACAAACTAGAATAAACCCTTACTTTTTCCTGAAGCAGAACAGAACTTGAACCATTATCCAGAAGTCTTAGCCAAGTATGAAACAGAACAGAACCACCCCCTCCCTAAACAAGGTTCAGACCAAAAACATAGGTTGCTTCTTCACCTATGTATGTGTATAATTGTATAATTAAAAAGTACAAATGAAAGAAGCATTTGGGATTTATTTAGTACTTTAGGTAGTATGCTTTTAAGGCAGGATTCATACCCCTTAGCTGTAAAGGTTTTAGTCCTATTATGTTGCTCTGAACTGCATTATCGTGTGCCTCATTTTCTCATCACACATTTTCTCGTGAGAACTGGAACTGAACGAATTCATTTGACATTGGCCAACTTGGTTGCAGAGGGCAGTAACTAGCACTAGCCTCACCATTAAAGTGAATGGGCATGGCTAACTTAAATACATTGGTTTGAATGGGTCATTTCTAAGTAGGACCATGTTCGACGCAACGCTGAAATTTAACTGGTTAAAACCTAAGCGGAAAATGAAACACAAATGTAATTCTTGGACACACACCCTCCCCACCGAATAAAGAGGTCTTTTCTTTGATGTATTATGACTTAAGATAGTGCACAGAATAATAATAACAACATGCTGCCCATTTGAATGGGTTGCCCCAGTCACTCTGGGCAGCATCTGATGACAAACATGGAGGAACTAGATGGCTATGAGCTCTGTTTACAAATACACCATTTCTAGGACTCTTTGGCCACAAGCCAGTAGTTAAGCACACTTAAACCTCACTGATGCACTAGTGGGTTTAAGCAACACTTGACTGCTCTGAATTGTTGATCTCAACCCATGAATCTGCAAAATCTGAAAGCAGATTCCTCAAAACAGCACGAAACATATTTAAAGTCTCAAAGGCTTATGCTACAGATAGGTGAGAAGGCAACGATCAAGTATCTGTGAATCTGAGTCAAGCTTCTCACTTTGCAGCACTAATTAAGGAGAGTGAAAAGAAAAGAAAAAGAATAGAGAGAATAGAAATAGGTCAACACTTACCAGACTTCGATACTGGCCCTGAAAAAGTTTTGAGGTTCTGCTATGTAAAGATTGGGATCCCAGGGAATCAAAAGATTTTATTCGATGAGATGATGGCCTTGCGCACACAGAATCACTTCCTAGCCCAATATCTGAAAAGAGATAACCATGAAACATTAGCATTTCAGTAAGGCACACATATATAAAATTTGTGCTGTGGACAAGCATTTATATTTGATTTCCTAAAACAGAAGTGTAGAATTCCCAGAAAAGCATGTGTAAGATGCCAATTACTTGAATTAACCTACTTCTATGCAAGACAACAGAACTATATTTTATCATCCCTCGGATCTGTAAAGCGAGTTGTCTTCACAGGAATGTACTGAGTACCAAAACAGGAAGAGATGGGCCTGGAAAGGATCTCTGGGCAGATGCATCCAACAGGTATGCAGGCAAAATTCACTTCAAAAGCAAATAATAATAATCACACCCCTCATTCCCCAAAATCCAACGGAATGCAAGAGGACATACTTCCATATCCACACCAGGAGGCACATTTGCATGCACATCCAATTTAGACTGCCTGCCCCTGATCCCAAAAGTGATATCATTACTACTGAAATGATGAGGATGATGTACTTCCATGTATGTGTCTCCTGATGGATCAGGCAAGAAATCCAGGAGACATGGGGTGGGAGGAAGAGGCCGGTAGGTAAAGTCCTCACTGTCTCATTTGGGAAAGGAAGGAACCGTACACCAACAACAGTAGCAAAATAAACAAATCATGAAACATTTTCAGGGGTCTAAACTTATTAAAATGTATATAGCCCACTCTTCCGATATTCAGGGAGGCACAACATCTCCACCCCCATCGTTCAGCCCGGACACTGAGATCCAGCACCAAGGGCCTTCTGGCGGTTCCCTCATTGCGAGAAGCGAAGTTACAGGGAACCAGACAGAGGGCCTTCTTGGTAGTGGCGCCCGCCCTGTGGAACGCCCTCCCATCAGATGTCAAGGAAATAAGCAGCTATCCTATTTTTAAAAGACATCTGAAGTTAGCCCTTTTTAACACTCAATTGGGAGCCGCCCAGAGTGGCTGGGGAAACTCAGCCAGATGGGCGGGGTATAAATAATAAATTGTTGTTGTATTATTATTATTATAATAGGCACATCATATGGGAATGTTAGTGCCACTGAATTCAATGAGGCTCATACAATTGAGCACTTAAATGCATCTTTATAATCTACTAGCCCCCCAAGTCTATTTGCAGCTCCTCCTCTCTCTGGAAGAAATCCTACAACTATCCTAGACCATGACACCAACTACCAGGAACCAGAATAGCCTACCACAAAACCTATATCCGTAATATATGGTATATTGTAGATGTAAACTGGTTTGAGCCAGTTTTGGGGGGAAAGTGAGTGATACATATAATAAAATAAACTTTCAATTAGATTGCTTTCAAAGGGACTTCTGCTAGATTATTCCTCAGCTCTACTGTTGTCCAACTTCAATGATGTGCACAAACACACCAGAGGAAGCCGGTTCTTGTGTTGCCACCCTCCGGACCTCACATGGGCTTTATGCAATAAAAAAGGCATTAACACAAATACTAATATTATGAACTGTTAGGTGTATGCTTCTGCATGCACGCACATGAGTGCTTTAAGAGACAGTGACATTTATGCCCCATACTCATGGGGTATCAAAATCATTAGAGGTGATCCTATAATCAAAACAACAAACGTCTGGTACACACCACAGTATTACTAGAAAAATCTGAAAATGGGGCAATTGTCCATCTATCCTCTTAAAATGGAAAAAAGGGAGCATGGGATGAACACAAAAACAGACACAGTAGGTATATATTACTACTTAGAAAATAGAGGTGTTCTGTAAGGTAAAGGTAAAGGGACCCCTGACCATTTGGTCCAGTTGTGGCCGACTCTGGGGTTGCGGCGCTCATCTCACTTTATTGGCCAGCGTACAGCTTCTGGGTCATGTAGCAAGCATGACTAAGCCACTTCTGGCAAACCAGAGCAGCGCACGGAAACACCGTTTACCTTCCTACCGGAGCGGTACCTATTTATCTACTTGCACTTTGACGTGCTTTCAAACTGCTAGGTGGGCAGGAGCTGAGACCGAGCAACGGGAGCTCACCCCGTTGCGGGGATTCGAACCACTGACCTTCTGATCAGCAAGTCCTAGGCTCCACAGCGCCACCCGCGCCAAATATATTCCAAATAGTATCAAAGTACGGAAATGGGGCGCTTGTGCAGGTAACACTGAAAACCAAGCAAATTCCAAGCTAATGACTTGGGCGCTATCATCAACAGAGCTATTCAGCTATAGTTCGTTTATTTAGTTAAGGAAGCATATTCAGCTCAAGGACAACTGGGGGAGTTGTGAGCCGGAGTGTCGCAAGAGCGGAGCAAGAAATGAAATGAAATAAAAATCCTGCTGCTGAATGGTAAATGCAGTGAATTCTTTTTTTAAAAAAACCCTGAAACATAGAAACTTTCAGTTCAGAGCAAAACAAACAAACAAAATATTTAACAGCAAGAAAAGGAAGTAGGGGGAAATGGATTCTACTTACCTGCTGTTACTTTATTTAGAGCAACCAAGGAGCTAAGCACCTTGCTGAAGTTCTGTCCCTGATAGAGGTCATTTGCATCAAACGTCTTAAAAGAAAGAAAGAAATATAAATACATATTAAGTCATGCTAGAAAGCCACTGCAAGTTCAAAACGAAATTGTTCTAAAAGATCTCAGCCAAGTTTTGATCCGTTGTTTATTTTTTCTACACACAAATGTGAGTTGCAAAGAGTGTACAACTTCTGTTTCGGTTGCAAGGACCAAAAACCTTATTAGCTTCCAGGCCCAATTCAAAGTGTTGACAATGGCTTTTAAATCCCCGGACATTATGCACTCTGCCTACCTGAGTGAACATCTCCTGCCACATGTGTCACGCATAGACATGCCAAATGGAATTGGCTGTGTGTGCCCTTTCACACAGAACTGCAGGGCCACAGGACCACGTCTTCTCTCTTGAACAACCTCCTTATGGAATCCGTTTTCCAAAAACACTCCTACCTGGCCTATTTTATGCCCATCTTCCATAGGCCACGTAAAGGTTCTCCAGATGTTGTCCCTTTTACAGGCTGATGAGTCAACTGCGGTACAGAGGGGCAGTTATGCCAATCTGTTTCAGCAAACAAAATAGCCCTCTTCAGGCATTAGATTTAGCAGGAAAAATTGGGGGGGGGGGCCTACCCTACTGTACACAGGATGTATTAGCCAATCCTGCAAAGTCACCCAGAAAGGATAATTTATTTTCCACATGTGGCCCTCTATCTCTGCTTGAACCAAACGAAGTTATCTGTTGTCTCTCTTTTTTAAAGCAAAAATACAGAGCGGATACTTGTCCTTATGCACAGCCTGCGTTCAGAACCCATATACATAAGGAAGCTTCACACACACACACACACACACACACACACCAAGGTTGCACACACTGAGCACAAACAGGAAAAAGCCAAAGTGTTATTTTCCAGGGTACACTGCTACTTTGGAAAATGTTTCTGCACCTGCATGATTGCTGGTAGTCCCTGCCCACAATTCCCCACATTCCTGACATGAAGACCACTGTGCCTGTGGTTCCTGACATGAAGAACCACTGTGCCTGTGGTTGCAAGTGCTAAGTGCGCTGAAGGAGCATGACCGACACTCTAAAAAAGCGCTCTGCATGGAAGCTTTCCAACAGTGGGACCCCCCTGAAGCCCTGTGCACAGACTTCCACTTGCACAACAGGGCTTCCTACTTCATCCCCCTGGACAGCCCATGAAATCAGCTTTTGGGAAGGCAGGAGAATGCCCAGAACAACCCATGAGGAAGGAGGCATCATTCTATCTCACAAGCTGGAGTGCTTGTGTAGACACCGCTCCATCCAGGAAAACAAGAACCATTGCCACATAAGACACATTCCAGTCCGGCAAAAGAACTTGAGGAGGATGCAGAATAGAACCAGCGAAAGGTATGGTCTAGGGAGAATCTTGAGGGCCAGACAAGAGGCCTGGAGGGCCACATTTGGCCCCTGGGCCTGAGGTTCCCTAGACCTCTTTTAAACCAAACATTCCCAAGAATATGCATTTACCAAAAGTCTTTAAAAAGCTAAAGGCATAAAAGTTGTTTCCAGAAGGAAAAAGAAAATGCCACTCCCTGCCCCTCACTCCATCGTCCACCCCGGAGAGTTAAGTACCAACCGGAAGAAATCCAGTCAGAGATATACCAGGACTATTTTTCGAAACAGCAAAGTCGCAAAATAAAAATGGGTTAGGAAGCAAGATAATCTATATAAACAGCACAAAAGAGAAGGATTTGGGCTCACCATTGTGAATTCTCTCTCAACAAAAGTAGACCGCTAAACGTGTTATGTTCAAAGAAGTCAAGGAAAAACAGGATGTGAAGAGGCTTATGTTTCCTGCCAGTCTGAGGCTATCTGGGAGGGTGGGAGCGAGTCGATTGGCCATTCCAACAGCCAGTTCATCATCGGAATAACACACACACCTAGGCGGCCTTACTCAACAGGAAGCCAAACAAGAGGATGAAGGACAAGGGATTGAAGAGAGTAGAGTATATGCATGTGTAATGGTTTCATGGAAGTGATTTCATGTCATCTGGGAATTCTCTTTAAACAGAATAGTAAGAATAGCCAACAATGTACCGGGGGGGGGGGGGGGGAGAGTCAACTTGTCTTTGAACACTCAACATTTCTTTGCACCTCAGAAATTATGTGGGGATGCCAAATTTCATGATGGTATGACCCGCAGCATAAAGATGAAAACAAAAATAGGTGGGGGAAGAAGAGCAGCTGATTTGTGATGACATGGCTCAAGGTTCAGCCCCAGACAGCTCAGTTCAAAGCATCAGAGGAAGCAGAGCTTGGGAAGGGAGCTTTCCACCAGAGACTTCTGGAAAGCCACCTATGGTCAGTGCTGGAAATACCAACTGAGAGGCTTCCTAGATGCTTCTGCCCATCTCCTCTGGTTAGCCAGTCAGCATAATCACTACCAGCAGGTCCCACCCAGGCTCCTGCAACTCTCTATCCCACAGAAATGACTTCCATAGGGCAGTGGATGCTTTTGCTCATTTCCCTCCCCATTTTTTGTAAGAAGAGGGTGAAAACCAAGCTATGGCTTATACAGGTGGCAATCCTTTTGGCCGGGCGTTCCATTCCTGACCCCCCATGCATGTAAGCAGAGCTTACATAAGCCCACCCCGCCACTTTTTCAGACCTCTTCCATATTGGCAGCGATGAGCATGAGCATGATTTGCATAAAATGGTCGCTGCCTGTAATGAGCTGAGGGGGGCAGACTCAGTTTCCCCAACCTAAGTCAATCAGCCCACCCTAAGCCAACCAGAACCATGCATTCTTTCTGTGGGTGTTCGCCTTTCTGAGTCTGCAGAGAGGGATTTGAAGAAGCAGCAAGCGAGCCAGTAAGAATGTTCATAAACTTATTGTTCTGCTGGGTTTTCCCAGTGCACAAAGAGCTTTTAAGCTGTCTCCCTTGCTTGCTTGCCAGGCAAGGCTCACTCAGCACGCCAACTCTGGAAGGGTAGGGATGCTTGCATAAGGTCTCACAGGAACTGGACAGCCCTGTGAGATCTTGCACCAGTGCGCTAAATCTGTGTGTGCCTTGCCCTCCCAAGCAAAGCAGAGAGCTGAAAGTTATTTTCATGCAGGCAAAACTCAGTGCAGAAAGAGCTTTAAAGCCTTCTATCTTCCTTGCATTTAACTTGCAAAATTTCAGTCAACCAGCCTTCAACTGCATATGGTTCGAATCATGCAAGTTAAATATTTGTAAAATGCAACTGTACTGAAGACTAGTTCACCCAAGCACTTTTTTTTAATGGCAAACGCTGGCACAAGTTGATGTTCTCAGATACTGATCAGTTATCAGTACCACATACCCTGCTGATCATGTACTTGGCGCCATTTGAATTTGTGACAGCTGTAAAACAGAAGGCAGCAACTTGCAGGCTACAGAAAATCAGCCTAAATGGCTCTGAGTCTCTTCTCACCATTATCTGGTATTTAAAGTACTATTGTTTTTCAAGGCAATAAACCATGTTCTCAAGAAACCAAGCCAAACATTTCTGATCTGCCTAGATGCAGAAAACTCTGTAACACACCATTTTTTTTTCATCTACAGAAATAAGAATACAGTTTTGACTCTCAAGCAAACTTCTTCCCTTCCAGAAACCTGTGCAGTGAATGGTTACACACATATCGCCCGACCATCTCTTCTTTAGTAAAGGAATGCTTTCAAGTCTCTACCAAAATGAGAGCTCAATACTTTTGCTGTCTTCTCTTCTTCCTCTGCTCCCCCTCTCCTGTCAAGAATTCAATTTCTCCTGGCCCAGAACTGCGTAAGTGGATATAAAAGTATAAATGGGACAGAAAGCTATAACCCAGTGGCAGCCTAATCCTATGCATGTTTATTTGGAAAACACAGCAACATCGTGAGGGCCTGAGAGTCCACACAAAACAGTAAGCCTCTGCCTGGATTGTATCACTAGTGACTACAGGGGACTGAAACGTCCTCCATGCAAAAGAAATCAATAACCCCTGCATATAGAAAAGCAGGTGTAAGAAATAAGACTATGCTAGAACCCTCTCCCTTGAAATCTATTTCTCTAAGGAGAGGAATTTTATTTATGCATTAGTATGGAAGAACATTTAATTTTGTGACTTCCCATTTACAGCCCAGTAGCACAGCCCAAGGGACGCGGGTGGCGCTGTGGGTTAAACCACAGAGCCTAGGACTTGCCGATCGGAAGGTCGGCGGTTCAAATCCCCACAATGGGGTGAGCTCCCGTTGCTCGGTCCCTGCTCCTGCCAACCTAGCAGTTCGAAAGCACGTCAAAGTGCAAGTAGATAAATAGGTACCGCTCCAGCGGGAAGGTAAACGGCGTTTCTGTGTTTCTCACCCCGTTGAGGGGATTCAAACCGCCAACCTTCTGATCAGCAAGCCTGAGAGGCTCAGTGGTTTAGACCACAGCTAAAACTAATTTTAATACAGTGGCACCTCTGGATGCGAACGGGCTCCATTCCAGAGCCCCGTTCGCATCCTGAAGTGAACGCAACCCGCGCCTGCGTGGGTTACAATTCGCCGCTTCTGAGCATGCACGTGATGTCATTTTGAGCATCTGCGCATGCGCGAGTTGTGAAACCCGGAAGTAACATGTTCCGTTACTTCAGGGTCGCCGCGGAGTGCAACCCGAAAATGCTCAACCTGAAGCAACTTTAACCTGAGGCATGACTGTAGTTATTCTATGTTTCCAGGGAACTATAGTTCTACAACAGATAATTCTAAGCACATTTGCCAATCAACCATTCCCGTAATTTCCTACGGTAAACATGAGATTTATAGGTTTGCAGTGTAGATATATTCCTATGCTTTCCCCAAGGCAGAACAGTAAGGCCAGGGATCTCTGAAATGTGCTGAAGAGGTCAACAATATTATCTAGAACGGAAAATGGCCCCCAAAAAAACTGCAGTTCAAGTACAATATATGATGCAATAGGGTACAGCTGGGTTTTTTCCTATCCAGCATTCTCTTAAACTATCTAGTTGTTATCTTGTTCCCAACTTTAAAATGACTCGTGCCTGGGTTCAAAATATTTCCAATTTTCCCCAAACCATGAAAATACAGAAGTCTCCCCTCAACTCCCCCCCCCCAAAAAAGGTGAGTCATATAGTCTTGAACTTTCCCACAATTTTGGCAGACTTTGTTCCTGTTATTATACGTAATGCCCATTCAATTTTTAAAATACGTTTCCAACTAACAATTTTTAAGTTCCATGTCTTAACAGAAAGGCAAGTGCAGGCAAGAAGACAAACGACAAATGAATTCAAACAGCACTGACCACTTAATATAGTAAACTGCATATTGTTTATGGCCAATAATCACGAAGTTTCAACTCAAGGTAGTCAATCACAACTGTTCCTCAGATGGCCCTGTGAATTCCACCCCCTGCACCCCACCTAAATAAAGCTAAGTCATTTTACAAAACTCTTATTCTTTCTGCCTTTCCCCTCCAAAAGATAAGAAACATGGGTGGGGCTTTACCTTGGGTAAACAAAGCCAGAAGTTCAATTGTCTCGCATTTCTACTGTAGTTCACAAGCTTGTTTCAACAAGTCTGCCATAACTGTAGTCCCACACAGGGTTCACAGACAAAAATGAAGCAAGGTAAGTGTGTGATTGATCATGTGACCAAAATCTAGGTCTCTATGTTCTAATCAATTACTCATTAAAAGGAAAGGCAATAAATTTGCTAGGTATTAAAGTTATCAAGTGTTAAATCTACAAGGCCCTTTAAAGTTAGATTCACTAACCCAAGGGAAAGTTAGCAAGCTGGGGGGGGGACTAATTTAAATAGCTGCATAGAAAGAAAGTAGAGGGGAAGTTCATCATTAACTACCGTATTTTTTGCTCTATAAGACTCACTTTTTCCCTCCTAAAAAGTAAAGGGAAATGTGTGTGCGTCTTATGGAGCGAATGCAGGCTGCGCAGCTATCACAGAAGCCAGAACAGCAAGAGGGATTGCTGCTTTCACTGTGCAGCGATCCCTCTTGCTGTTCTGGCTTCTGAGATTCTGAATATTTTTCTTCTTGTTTTCCACCTCCAAAAACTAGGCGCGTCTTGTGGCCTGGTGCGTCTTATAGAGCGAAAAATACGGTAATTGACTCTGACTCAGCAATGTAGCGACACTGCCAAAAGGAAGAACACACCATACTTGGATGTAACAAGAGAATTATACACAGAAGATTCAGAAGATACTTGTCCCGTTCTAAACTGTACTCCTTATAACAAAGAAGTCATAAGGAAACAAAAACCAAGGCAATCAAGGGTCTGAATGAGGAAAAAATGTAGAAACCAACTAGGTTTGTAGAGAAATCTGAGAAAGTGTCACCTAGCAGTCAGAATGGAAGAAGTCTACTTTTTACAGAGCATTTAGATTTGATTATCACCTATACATTTCCTCTAGTTATCTCACTACGGAAAAGGGCTGGAATCATAGAATCACAGAGTTGGAAGGGATCCCGAGGGTCATCAACAAACAAACGAAAAATTAAAGGAAAGAAAAGCCTGGAATAGCCATCCCTCCCCAGCCTCAGAATCTAACAGAAGGATTCAAATGCGTTGAGATTAGTTATATTATTTGTCTACTGTATACAAGACATAAAAAGATGGAACCTTGCTGTGCATCCTCTGTCAACAGAGGTCTTAAATATCAAGTTAGACCACTGTTGATTAAGATTTGTTTAGGTGCTGTCCTTGAGGAAGGAGGGTTGACTTGATGATTTAGTGTCACTTCCAGCTATATATCCAGGGACTTCTTTAAGTAGAGAGGAAGAATGCCTTTGACAGCAACAGCTTTGGGTAGGATTCCTGAAATGGTTGGACATGATCACCCATGATGTTCCTTCTACAAGTAGGGTAAGTTTCTCATCGTTCAAAGTGTTTGAGCAGGTAGAACCAGAACAAGCTGTTTCTCCTTGCTCCATAGCCCAAGGATACGCAAGAAAACCCTCTTTCCGCCTCCAGTGTTAGGATCTTATTTGGTCATGCTGAGCAGAAATCCACCACCTCTGAGGAAGCGGGAACACATCAGCTATCACCTTCATTTTAAAGTAGTATAACATTACATTAAACAGTCATGGCTTCCCCAAAGATTCCTGAGAACCTTAGTTTGTTAAGAGAGTTGGGAGTTGCTATGAGGCTCCTATTCCCTTCACTCAGCTACAATTCCCAGAGTTCCCTGGGAAAAGGGACAACCAGTTAAACCACTCTGAGTATCGTAGCTCTGGGGTGGGAATAGGGGTCTCCTAACAATTCACTGTACACTTAAACACAGTTTCCAAGGATTCTTTGGCTGAAGCCTAGTTGCATAATAGCACTTTCAATATATCATGCAGATGTGGCATTAAAAATCTGATTCTGAGATGATCTATGGTTCGTTCACTACAAAACATAAAAAACCTCAATATACAGCATTTGATGTGAGGGCATGGATTCAGTTTTATGAAACTAGAGAGTGTATATTTTAATATGTTTGCATTACACAATGATATTAATCAGGCTATTTTAAAGGGATGACTCTCTCATATATATATAAAATTTGGAAGAATCCAAATAAAATCAGTGTGAAGACAAACACAGTAGAAAACAATAGATCTCTTTGAAAAACAAGGCTAGATTTGGGGCCAGATGAGACAAGAAACAAGAGGTGTGGAACAATCTCATGACATTTTCATTTTTACTTAACAGTAAAAAAACAAAAACCTGTGTGTGTGTGTGTGTGTGTGCGCGCGCACGTGCTTGGGCTTTGACTATGATCAAAGCACAAACATTGGGGGAGTGGAAGTTAACTGCCCCTAACCAAAAAAATCTTAATACAGCACTCTCAACAAGCAGTTAATAACCTCCCAGCAGAAAACAGAGATGTCTTCTACTTCAGGGCTAATAGCAGCTGTAAAGAGGTATTAAACAGTGAAAGCGGGGAAATGTAAAAGCCTCACTCCCCCTGCACCACGACTCCAATAAAATCCAGGCTTCTCCATGGCTGCTTTTAAGTAAAAATGCCAGGAGAGAGGACTCACAATCCTCCTGTATTTCATCTGGTCTGGCCTTCAGTGAGAGTTAACAGGAGGTGGGAAAGCTTGTTCAATATCTGGCTGTTAAAACAGCTACCCGTACAAAATGATATATAGCATTCGCAAGGCAATATAAAAGGGGAGGCGTGCAAAAAAAAAAGGACACTGTGGCTGCACAGACATGAGTGTGCTGAATAGGTGCGTGGGTAAGAAGAACCACCACCGTGGCATTACGCTGGAGGAGAAAGAAACGCCTGTGTGCAGAGAGAGAGAGAGGATGGAACAGGTAGGCGTTTGTTTGCTGCCAACCGTCCGGCACAGTAGCTCCCTTAACTTTTAATTCATTCCTTAGCACGGCCCTCTAGCCTCCTTAACACCCTCCACCCTCACCCCATATTACATGTTCATATATACACGTGTGTCTGTGTGCGATTATACACACACATGCAAGCAAGCAAGCAAGCAAGCAAACACACACGTCTTTGTGTGTGTGTGTTTTGGCAATATGCACAATTCTCCCCCACCTCACCTCCAGGCGGAGAGTGGCGCCGCAGGCGCGGAGGAACTCGCGGATATTGCTCAGGCACTCGCTCTCGGTGCGCGGCTCCGGATAAACCTGCAAGAGGAAGAGAAGGAGAAGCGGCTCAAGTCAGTTTCGCGGTGGCGGGTTGAGACCGTGGAGAAAAGCAGGGGCTGCGGAGCACCCACCCGGGTCTAACCCGCCCTCCGTGGGCTCCGGGCTCTCGCTTCCACCCGCCCGCCCGCCCACCGCACTTTCTCCCCTCCAGGCTTCACTTGGAAAGCAGCTTTTGGATTTGATTTGCCCGGAAGTAAACATGCCGACAGGAAATGGCGTGTGAACGGGGGACGAGGGAAGTCCCTCGTTCCCCCACTCCGGGATGGTTTCCCTTCTCTTCTCTTCTCTTCCCTCCCTCCCGCCCGCGCCACCCCCTCTGCAGGGGCAGGGCTAGAGAGGTGGTGTCTTATTAGCTTTGCAAATACAGCAGACAATATAGAGAGCACCCCACCAGTGCAGCAGCAGCAGCAATGTGTGCAGAACGGAGTTGCCAGGATCTTGCCACCGTGCCTTTCTGGAAGGGCTCTCTAAGAAACTGCTCCGGCGGGCAGTTTTGCTAATGGGCTCAGCTCTTGTCCTTAAGTTACCAGTTAATAAAGATCCACCTGTTGGATTTGGGCTAGCTATTTCCAAGGCACGGGAAGCCTGCCGGAAATAAATGGTGTTCTTTCATAGGCTTTCCCCATCAGCAACGTTCTGCAATGGCCTGTCGGCATTGTTCCAATGTGTCTTCCCAGGGGGCCAATCTCCCCCTTAATGTAGGAGCATCCACATAATGTCCTCCCCATCTCAAGTTTTACCCTGGACCTTTCCACCTTGAAATGCAGAGGGCTTTGATGCTTGGGAAATCAGAAAAGGCCAGGATCAAAACACCCAGCATTTAAAGGAGGAAGGGTCTGAGAGAACATTGGGATGGGGGGATCCACATTTTGCCCCAGTGTGGGCAAGCCCCGAGTCTGCTGTCGCCCACAGTAGGACCATCTGCATTCCACGGCACGGCATTCAGTTCATGGTGTGCTACAAAACAGCACCGGTGCTTGCAGAACAAATAGGTTACAGGAGACTCGAGAAATCAAGCGAAGCTCCATTGTACAGTCTGTAGGGAGGTGGGGAACCTACTAAACTTTTAACTCCAATCTTGCAAGCTGCTAAATGTAGCCTACGTACATGATGAAGCCACCTTGAGTGGCTTCTTGCCATGTTCCTACACCCTCCTTCTTTCCACTTGTTTCTCTCAGGTGGAACCTGCTGAATTTGCATAATGGTGCAAAACACAGTGAAAGTGGGGAAATCTGCTGATGTCACATTTACAGAGTTTAGGCAAGCAAATCATTTCGCCGCACTAGAAGCTGAACCAGAGAAACGGGCCCCTCCTTGAAGCAGTGATTTCACTGCATTGATGCCACATACAGTGGTACCTCGGGTTACAAACTTCATTCGTTCCAGAGGTCCGTTCTTAACCTGAAACCGTTCTTAACCTGAGGCGCGCTTTCACTAATGGAGCCACCCGCTGCCGCCACTGTACAATTTCCGTTCTCATCCTGGGGAAAAGTTTGCAACCCGAGGTACTACTTCCAGGTTAGTGGAGTTTGTAACCTGAAGTATTTGTAACCTGAAGCGTTTGTAACCCAAGATACCACTGTACACTGGTTTCCATACGTTGTCAGTGCAGATGCAGGAGGCTAGGTGAATGGTACAGAAGTCTGTATTGTTGACTTCTATTGCTATTAACTTTACTGTATTGTTATTTAAGACATTTGTGCTCCACCTTTCCAAATGTGTTCAAGACAGCTAACAATCCTTAAATAATAAAACACATGATAAACATCAACAGCAAAACGAAGTGCCGTATTTTTCCATCTATAAGATGCCCCCATGTATTAAGAAAATGGGGGAAGATGGCCCAGAGTATAAGCAGAGTATAAACTTTTGACATTATTTTTTAGGGGGGGGGACCTAGTCTTATGCACAGAAAAATACACTACATAGAGACAGCCTCCTTGAATCAACCCGTTTCAACTTCTTCCCGCCAGCCCATGGGTCTAGTGACAGACACAAGCATGGTCCCTAAACCACAGAAAATACAACTCTCATACAGAGAGCCCAGAGTAGAGTCACAAAATCATAGCATGCAGAACTACTTATCTATGCACCCACTATAAGCATGCACCAGTTTCATGCCACTGTAATTTCCATGGCTTCTCCCCATGATATAGTGGGGTTATAGTTTGCTGTGGGTTAAACCACAGAACCTAGGACTTGCCGAGCAGAAGGTCGGCGGTTCGAATCCCTGCAACGGGGTGAGCTCCCGTTGCTTGGTCCCTGCTCCTGCCAACCTAGCAGTTCGAAAGCACATCAAAGTGCAAGTAGATAAATAGGTACCGCTCCGGCCAGAAGGTAAACGGTGTTTCCGTGCACTGCTCTGGTTCGCCAGAAGTGGTTTAGTCATGCTGGCCACATGACCCGGACGCTGTACGCCGGCTCCCTCGCCCAATAAAGCGAGGTGAGCGCCGCAACCTCGGAGTCGGCCAGGACTGGACCTAATGGTCGGGGGTCCCTTTACCTTTACAGTTTGCTGAAGACACCAAGAATGCTTTTGCATAAATTGTTAGCCCCCAGCCTGACGAGAACCTGCTCGCCATCCGTAATAATCAGTCTCACACAAAGATGGGTTGAAGAATTGTGGCTGAAAATGATTGCTTGTACATAAGAGCATGAGCAAAGTTCTTATGTACAAGCAATCATTTTCCCACACCAGCCCCTCAAAGGACCACAATTCCCAGGGTTTCCTTGGGGTAAAGGAATGATTGTTAAAACCATGGGTAGGCAAACTAAGGCCTGGAGGCCGGATCCAGCCCAATCACCTTCTAAATCTGGCCCACAGATGGTCTGGGAATCAGCATGTTTTTACATGAGTAGAATGTGTCCTTTTATTTAAAATGCATCTCTGGGTTATTTGTGGGGCACAGGAATTCATTCATATTTTTTAAAAAAATATAGTCCAGCCCCTCACAAGGCCTGAGGGACAGTGGACCGGCCCACTGCTGAAAAAGTTTGCTGACCCCTGGTTAAAACAGCTTAGGTTTGTAATGTGAGTATGCCCTTAATTTATGTATATCCCTATGGCTAAATGCATTCAGTGTTAGTATTTTTGGTATGTTTCAACTTAGGCTACTAAACATTTTCACTACAAAGCACACAGATGGGCTCTCCAGGAAACTACTGAATACAAGTGGTCTGAAAATCAAATTTCCAATGAATGTGGAAAATAAGAATCTGAATGTATGTACATGCATACAGTTAAACTACTTACTTCTGGCAGAAACAGGAGAAGTAAGGTGGGAGCACACTTGTGTTTGTCCCCCAAACCCCTTCCCTATTTTATTTTATTTTTAATGGAGCTATGAGGACTCCCTCACAGGCAGTTTTACGTGCCCTAAAGCAGTGGCAATGAGTACTCAGGTAGGTAGTAGCTGGCAGGCTCTGCTAGCACAAAATGACCTGCTCTGTGTATCTGCACAAAATCTCAAGCGCGTAAACACCTCACTTTTGTGGGGGAATTCGCAGTTTGGCTTGTGACGCTCACAGAGTTGGCTCCAAGTGAATGAATATAAAACCAACTATCCCAGAGTTCAAGGGAAACAACTGAAAAATCCAAAAATAGTTTTCTTACTTCTACTTTGGAAACATTTCTGAAGACTGCCAAATTGTTCTTCAAGCTGCCTTAAAATAAATGAGTTGGAACTAAAACCTGTGTGATAAATTAAGTGTTACATAAGCAACCTTTATAATGCGGGAGCCTGTAACACTTCAGCTGCGAGAAGTCTTTCCATTGGTTATTTAAAACATAGGTACAAAAGAACAGAAAGAAATAGCCAGCATTCATCATGAAAAGAGGTCAAAGAGGACTACCCTACATGTTTCTGAGGTAAAATTGATCTGTTAGAAGAGAGTCCATACAATCCTTTGACATTTTATTACATATTTTTGCCTAATGTGTGGCACCATGTTCTGTATCACTTGGCAAGACACTCAAGCTAAGAGGTGAGGCTTCATTGCAGGGCAGGGCTCTATATCTGTTAACAGTCTGAAAGATTTAATAGCGCATGGATTCAAAATTAACTTCATAATGGCAAGAACAGCTTATCACACTTACTTGTGAATACTCCCACAGGGATCGGTGGGGTCGATTTACAAGTGATTCAGTCATTTAAAGCAAACTCCAATATAGTAGGCCGAAGATCTCCATGACTATATTAATTATTATTATTATTATTATTATTATTATTATTATTATTATTATTATTTATTTTTAAAAACCTTTTGCCCCACAGTTGTGGGCAAAAACCTCAATACTGGGCAGTTTCTGCTTCAACAGCTTGATTTTGAGTGCTACCTCACATAACACATTAGCTGTGGCACAAAATCATCATCGTTTGTCATTTTTGGGTGTGCTTACCCGTCCTTTGACTGTTCGCTTCATAGTTAAGTTTTCTCCTATCCAAATTAATTGCATGTAGTAAGCAACAGCCTCATCACATATTGGTGCGTTCACAGAACCAGTCACTAAGTGTCCCGCTATAAAAAGAATCGACACTCATGCTGAGTCATTGCTGGGTCATTGCCATATAAACATAGTCATCCAAACACTGTCCTGAGTCTTGGAAGTCTGGAGAAGTTTCTATAAGTCACAGTCTACAGCTGTTTCATACCACACAATAAACAGTATTTCTGGGTTCCAACTTAACAACCCCTATGCACACACACAAAAAAGAACTTCGCATTAGTGTGCATGAATTATTCGTAACCCAACTTCCTGCCAAATAACTCAGAGCAAGAACCAGTAGGAGACTAGATTGGCTCCGCTGGCGCACTTGCACATGCGCTGACCTGGCTGCCACCCCACTCCCACTGTGCAGCCCCCTCTGCTGCAGTGGTTCAGCTGGGCAGAGGTCAGGTGTGGGGCCCAGCCCCACACTGCTGTCTGCCGCTAAGCAAGCTCAAGCCTTGGTGAGACTGAGAGACGGCGACTTGCGTAA